TGCTGCAAAGCTGCTTATCAATTCACAAATGGAAGATGGTGATTATCCTCAACAGGTTTGTACCTTTCAGTAAATTGATCTCATGCAGGGTCAATACCTCAGGAATTAAAGGAGCGCGCGCCACCAATATCCTTGGAAAGAATTTCCTGTTCACTAATCCATACAACTAGGAAAACCTAGAGATGATTATTGTCCACGCATATTATCCTTAAAACAATTTGTTCAGCTACACAAAACATGGTCCGGAACTAGGGCAAATAAAGAAAACTGATTAAGAGAGAGAACCCGTTCAGTAAGAATTGCCTTACAACGAAACCACATGATCTAAGCATGAACTTTGCCTGTTGTTATTATTAATAGTAAAAAATTTTGCATTGCAGGAAATCACTGGGGTTTTCAACAAGAACTGCATGTTACACTATACCGCTTACAGGAACATATATCCATTGTGGGCTCTCGCGGAGTATCGTAGGCGAGTTCCTTTACCGTCAACAGCCCTTTGAAGAAACAAGGAATATCATCACAGCTTGCACGTCGAGAAAACATAGATTTCACGGGCACAACAGAAATCAAAACTCATGTATTTGGTTTCTCTAGTATGATGGGTGTAGATCCGACGGACTTGCGGTCGTAGAATAGAAGATCCAAGCTAATATTACGGTGTATCCATAATTTATTTTAATGTAATCTATTTGCTGTTGAAATAAAAGGAGATGGTCAATTACAAAGTGGCTGGAAGCATTGGAGCACTTACATCACTTTTTGTATTCCTTTTCTTCTGGTGTCGAGTAAAAATTGCTAATGTCATTGTTTCGTCGGAAGTCGACTCCGTGGCAAAATATTTTTCACGAAAGTCCTTTGATTTTATTAGAGGAGACAAGTTCTATGGTGATTCTGGATAAAAAATATCACAAATATACAAGAAAATCGATAACTTCACTTCAAACGGAATTGAACGTACACAAACTGTGCCGGAATTTAATCGACAATAAAGCCTAAGAACGTAATCACTTTGGATGGAACCAAACGTACACAAATTGTGTTGGAACACAAACTGTGCCAAAATTTAATTGACAACAAATCCTGATAACATAAAGATGCAATGCTGGAATTTAATCGAGATGCGAATCTGGAAACTACACCTAAGAAATATCCTAGAATTTAATCAACGACGTGAGTATGAAAAGTATAACTACAGTGAAAACTATAACTACAGTGCAAAATTGAAAAATAACATGTTTGTTTGATTGTGCGTGGGAGACCTTCGAAGAGAACGATGTGGCTATTTAATGCATATAATCAACAGTTATCAACGGAGGTTACAAATAGATATTACAAAGGGAGCTTACAAACGGTTACCGAACAGTTACATTGACTCCACTATGATGGTTTCTTCGATTTCACTATCTTGACAGTTACTTTATTCCACTATGTTGATGGGTATATCTTGGACTGCATCCGAGATTGTCGACTCCACTTTTTGTTGATTCCTTCAAGTTATCGATTTATAAAGTTGTTGATTCTTCAAGTTGTCGATAATTCTGTTTATAAATAAGTAAACTCTACTCTCATCGACTAAGTCTATTACTTGTCCATAATAATTAAAATTGATCTTTTTTTGGTGCAAACAGTCATTTTTCCTTTTTATTAGAATAGATACCGATGCAAGGGTTGCAAATATTTATTCATTTTCATTTTATTGTCGTTCTTTAATGATGTACTCTTTTCCTTTTTGTTCCGTATTGAGTTCTTTGCAATTTCATCTTCTTTTATTTAATATTAAATTACAAGATCCGTTGATTTTCCCATTATTATACAACAAAACGGTAGTTTATGGGGAAAAATATAGGTTATGAATTACTTTCCTATTTTATTTACTTTTAAATTTATATTTATTTCTAGATTCTACGGTTCACACAATTTGATTTCAATTTAAAGTGGTCTTTTTTCTATATTTAATTTGTATGGGTATGTCTTGATCATAACAATACACCGTCGCCCACTTATTAGTGGCGACGATACCTCGCAGTTGGTGCCAGGAGTGTTCACGATGCCTTGGGAGTGAACCATCTTATACAATGTTGTTAATAGTTTACATTGGCATATCATTATAGGAAAAATAAAGCATTGCGTTCGTATTTGTCATACATGATTATTTTGTACTTGTCTTGAACTCACGTTGTTTGTTAGTACCGGATTGAGTGGTAAGATGATCTTTCACCTTAAATTTAGAAATTTCATTTACTAGCTTCGACTCATTTCTCTATTTTTTTAGATATGTAGGATGTATACTCCCACTGCCACTGCTTTTTTGGCACTCCCATGTATTTTAATTGGGAACTGAGACACTAAAAGTGTCAAAACTTGTGTACGGGGCTCACTTTAGTGCCAAAAGTTTCCGCCGGATCACTTAAGTGCCAACTCCGGTCAGTTTGGCCGGAAATCCAACGTGGCATTTTTTATTAATTTCTAAAGCCGATATGGCTCGCCGGAGGATGAGTTAGCATGTACAATCAGCATTTTTTATTTTAAATAATTTTTTTTCCTTTTCTTTTTTTCTTTTTCTCCCCTCGCCCGCCGGTTGCCGGTGGCTGGCCCGGCCACCGACAAAGCCCGAGAAGGGCTAGGCGAGGGTCGCCCTCTCCTGATCTGGGCGAGGCCGCCTCTCGTCGGCCTCGCCCGTGGCCAGCGAGGGGCGGCCTCAACTGTCACCGACGAGGGTCGCCTTGCCCAGATCTGGCGAGGCCGCCCCTCGTCGGCAGCTGGCGAGGCGACCCTCGTCGGCAGCTGGCGAGGCGACCCTCGTCGACGACAAACGAGGCCACCCCTCACCGGCAGCTGGCAAGGCGACCCTCGCCAGCGACAGGCGAGACCGTCCCTCGCCGCCCTCGCCCAGCCTTTCCCGGGCTTCACCGGTAGCCAGCCCGGCCATCGGCAATTGACCGACGAGGGGAGAAAAGGAAAAAAAGAAAAGGAAAAAAATTATCTAAAATAAAAAATGCTGACTCATCCTCCGCCGAGTTACATCGGCTTCAGAAATTAATAAAAAATGTCACGTCGGATTTCCGACCAAACTGACCGGAGTTGGAACTTAAGTAATTGTTTTTCAAAAAGTTTGGCACTTAAGTGATTCGACGGAAACTTTTGGCACTAAAGTGAGCGCCGTACACAAGTTTTGGTACTTGTAGTGTCTCAGTTCCATTTTAATTGTGAATACCAAGATATGCTTGTACCTGAATCGGCGGTAGTATATTGTTGGACCACTTGGGGGTTTCGATGGTCCCCTTGGTTTCGACGGAGATGACTTGTAGATGAGCATGGTTGTCGATCTGTAGTCTAGTTAAGAAACTGTTTTGTGAATTCAAATTCCTGTTTTTGACATTTCTTACGCCACAGCATCTATAAACTACAGAATATGCTAAAGGAAGTCAGGTCTCAACAGAAGGTGATGTCTATAGTTACAGCGTCTTCTTATTAGAGATGTTCACGGAATTAAGTCCCACTAGTGACATGTTAAGAGACAATTTGAATCTTCATAATTATGTTACTGAGGCTCTACCCCAACGAGCTATATATGGAGATTACCGATCCCGTGCTGCTTCACGAAGGAGAGAGCCACAACAGTGCCCATAATTCACTGCACGAAAGAAACGGCATATTTTGGGAATGTTTGGAAACAATATATTGCATTGGACTCGCTTGCTGTGGAGGAGCCTAGAAGACGCATGAGCATCGACAAAGCTGCAACCCAGCTGCACTCGATCAGGAAGAAACTTTTTGCAGCTTCTTTGCTTGGATAGATGAGATGAGATGAGACAAGAATAGATGACATCGAAAGTAGCAAGTTCTTCATTTCCTATAATGAATCTCTCGTGCTATTTGCGAATGAAAAGAGAAAGGGCGATGACTTTCCGAATTTCCTTGTCAATCTAAAAGAGTATTGTCCCGACATTCCTACTTTAAAGGATTAGCCATCAATTCACACTTTTTAACATTTTTTTTGTCAGACATTTCTTGACAAATTAATGGGATAAAAAGCCAAAATTATGAGCCAAATTGACCTGTAATTACGGATTCAATATACACGAAATGGTACAAGAGCCCCTCTGAACTCTACAAGGCTCTCTGCGCTCTATATGGCTCCATTGCTATTAGGGTGTCATCATGCTTTGTTGATTGAATCTGGTTTGTACGTCTACCAGAAAAATAGTGATAAATATCATATAACTTGAAAAAATTTTTTGCAACTTGTTAAGGTCTATCCGAACCGCTTAAAAACCTAAGTTGCAATATGTTTTATATAAATGTGGCGTCCCTCCAATTAACAATTCTGATATTTGAGGTGAATTTTAAAACGACGCATTTGAGCTAAAAACTTGTTTTAGTCCTGACCACAAGCAACGGTTTGCATCAGAGGTTGATTGTTGAAGCTATAAGTTTTGGGATTTGATTGGTCTTGTTGCCAAACGCTCTGATGCAATTGCTGTTATGTCTTCGTTTCTATCCTTCTAAGTCCAAGAGCTAGTCCATTATACAGAGGCGACCGAAACTTCACTTGTTGAAATCACAATTGAAAGAATTGGAATTAATTCTTCTACTTGCGAGGTCAATTAGTACAGCCGGCAAGGCAAAAATTTGAATGAGATCCATGGCATTAGTGGCTAAAATAGCCAAATGGCTTGACATTTTCATTTATTCTAATCTCCTATTGTTCATGATGTTAATCTTGTGGAAAGCATAGGGAAAGGAGGAGAAATAGTTTATGCAGCTCTTTCTTGAGAGCTTACTGACCTTTTTATGCTTGATAGGTATTCCGGCTCAATATGGTCACTAAGAACGGATGTTACAATGAAGCAGCAAGTTGTTTGGTTGGGCAGTAGCCTCTACAATTCGACTCGGATCGCCATTTTGTCATTAGTTTTCCTTCCTTTTTTTCTTCACAACTGGTTTTTATTGATGTGACTTCCTCTAGAGCCATTTGTTGTTCCAGTTTAGTATCGTATCACTAGGCTAGTTAGTAGTTAAAACTTATGAGTATCCGATGTTCTGGCTGCTTTTTGTCCCTGTTTATACACAAGCATCTAACTCAATCTTGTACTCCTGTCCGCAGGCGCACTTCACGAGCTGTGATATTCCCTGTTTAAAGCAGATAAACCAATGATTCCGGCAATATACATGAATAAGGTACTAACAAAATTTCTAACAAAAGGGTGTGTCACATAATTTTTTGTTTGAGTTGAGACAGCATATATAGAACAGTAAAATTCAGAGAAAAAACTAGACGCTATAATAGAAAAACAATCTCCTAGTTCTGGAAGATAACAGAGGTTAGGAGTAGAGTGAAACCAATCCCGTTTTATGGGTGCACTCCCCAGTTAACAGCGCAGTGTTCAAAAACGATATTGTCAACACCCATCCACTCTCTTTTTTTTAAAAAGAAAATCACAATTTTGGAATAATTCTACCTTCAGTTTCTCGATTTGATTCTGCAGAGACTGCACGAACTCGGTTTCCCCAACAATATCTGCTAAAAGAGCTTTTTGTTCCTTGTCCAACGTCTTAACATCCATTGCCCTTAGCTCTTCCTGCATTGCACCACAGCAAACAATGATGCTGAAACATAAGTACAACCAAGTAAAATCAATAAAAAGTCCTGGACCTGTACTTCAAGGATCCACTTTAGAACCAGGTACAGCAGATAAGCCGAACCACATTAATAGAACTTCAAATTACCTATATCTTTAATGATTTGGTTCATTGAAACCAAATGCAGACATTCTACATAGGTATTGCATGGTGCGGTGATCGAGTATAATACGTACTTGACAGTACCTATTGCCTTGATACTCACCTGGAACTCATTTGACCGGCTTTTCATTTGCTGCTTCATCTGCAATAATAGGAGTTGCACTAGAACCATTAGTGTTCATGGAAAAATGATGATAGCTGCAAATCGAGGATATTTACTCCTAGTGTTTAGTTGCCCCTATATTACATCATTACAATAAAGGCTTCTATAGTCCAAGTGATTAGAAATTAGACATCACACTCATGTCAAAAGGGGAAATCGAGCTGCTCCATGGCAGTTTCTGCTAGATTATAAAATTGAAATGGAACATGCTTCAGTCAGGACCATGAGTTGGTATGCTCTATTTTCTGGTGTTTATCTCCCAAGATGAGCATTGTAGTGCATATTATCACATATCCGCTCTAAGCTTTGACAATTAGAGAAAATCATTTTAACCAGAGAATCGAAATCAACACATTGTGGAATTTAGATATGGACTACTTAACTGCAGAATTTTCTGCAGCTAGCTTAGCTTTTGTTCTTTTAATCTCATCAAGTTTTGCTGTCGCAGAATCCACACTGAAGATCAGTTCCTTGCTTGCTTCATTGTTCTGTAAGTTCAAGCATTAAATTTAAGTAACTACTCTGTTCAATAAACACAATTTTTTTTTTTTAGTTTTTGTCTGTGAGTACCATGTTATCAATAACCAGGTGATTGGATTTGCCCCTTGCTGCAAAGGTATCAGCATTCGATATCAGATCAAGTAAACCGAAATGGAAATTTTTGTACACATTTCCTCACGGTACACAGTAAGTACATGGAGCATGGCTCCTAATTGTATCCGCTTACTGGCGCTTATATGTAGGTGATAAGTTTTCCTGGTGTAGATCCTGCCTTAAGTTGAAACATCAGATTACAATGACCAAATGAAGCAACAAATGGGCTAACAATACTAAAGACTAGACTAGTAATATGGCTTTCATGACGGATAAACTTGGGTTACTGACAACCTCTGCCTGTCTAGGTACATTGACCGTGCTCCAGCAAAAATAAGGAAAGGTTGACAGAGACTCAGCAGTTACTCAAGGAAATTGACGGACTTATCTCAATAATATATCTGTCAAACTAAACTCATACCGATGGAAAGAAAGATGAAACTATTCTTGTTTGAAGTGTATGGCCAAATGATGATTTATGCTGAAGAAATAGGTGTCATGTTGTTAAAAAGCACAATAGATCATGACGACATAAAAATAGAAACTCTAAAGAAGATCACATGTCAGCAACATATGCCTTCGTTGGCCTATAGTGCAAACTTGAGAAAGGCAAATACCCATACCTCCAGCTGCAACCTTTTCTTCATCGAATGTTTCCTTGACCTGCCAATATTCTGGTTAGCAAAAGCACTGCTATGATCTAAAAAGCATATTACTAACCATTTGGCTGCAAGGTAATAGCCAAGACAGAAAGACGTAAGAGAATTCGAGGCGGTTAACAAACTCTTTCCTAGAGGGGACCATAATATAATTTATAGTAGAGTTCCCATCATTAAATTCAGCCTTCAGTTCACAAAATAAAAAAAGTTCAGCCTTCCGAAGACTAATACTGAGGAACTAAAAGAGGGAAAAAAGTGACTGAAGCAATGCAAACCAAGATGTTTGTACGTGTATTTAAAAGTACATATATTGGAGCACAACAAAGGATGATCCTCCTCGATATGACAAATTTAAAATCTAATGGTAATAGCAAGTCCAAAAGTAGATAAACAAAAAGGAGTACCAAGTCACGCACTTCTGTGTCTGGGCTTGGTATGCAACAGTTAAGCCATCCCTAAAAGAACAGGATAAAAAGACTGTCAGCTGCTTGGTGGACATTCTGAAGTTGAGAGGTCAAAACTTGAGAAATCTTACTTGTAGCTCCTGGAATTTGACATTTATATCCTCAGCAACCTTGGCGTAGTAAGTGCTGAAAGTCCAAGAAATTCAGTGAACAGTTGAAGAACACGGCATCTTTTCGGGTTCAAGGACACAACAAATTTAGATACTTGAGAACAGGCCAGTAACCTTTTCTCAACTAGTTTGGCCGATAATTTTACTCTTTCTTGGTCAATTAGCTCCAAAGTCTGCACAGAACTCCAACAAATATTCATGGTAAGATAACTTTCCCAAGTTTCTTTGTTAAGCATAATCAATCATGTGGCTTAGTCATTTATAAGTTTAGAAAGCCTCACACTCCAGCATATAAAGTGTCAAAATATAACACAGTTGACTTTAAAAGTGTCAAAATCAAAATTTATTGCTCAGCCAGATCTATATGGACAAACTTGAAAATCAACACAGAAATGATTGAAAAATTACCTATCTTGACACATTTTGGGATAATACCTATTCAAGTATTAGCCGCTTCGACGGCCAAAGATCAAAGCAAACAGCTTTTTAGCACATGAAATTTGTCTCCAGAGAACTCTGAGAAGGCTCCAGGAAAAAGATATAGAATTTAATTGCTGCTCTGATTGCCTTTTAGCTTTTCAGCTCGTATCAGATAAACATCTATGTCTTGTAAATTGAAAGACAAATTTGAAACCTCTCCAACTTCCTCTCCATCCTCATTTTCTGCTAGTGATCCAAATCTAAAATTCACGTTGGCCTTAGAGTTCTGCTCGACATTCCAAGCTATGTACTAGCCATCAAAAGCAGCCACACTGTGAGCTTGAAACTATTTTCTGAAACCTTTGGTGACATATTTGTTTCTGATACAGTGTCTGACTCTTCAGAATTATTTTGAGATTCACGATCGTCCATTCCCACATCATATTACAGTGCCTTTATGCCCTAACCTGATAATCGGAAAAGCTGCTACACAAAAAATAATCGCTGCAAACAATAGAGTTCAATGCTTCTCTTTATCTGGTATCTTTCTATCTCGGAGTGGACTAAGGCATGAACCTGAACTCCAAGTCACGGATTTTCTTTAAGATATCATGGACATGAACTAGCAGCATCAACGAATTATTCACATTAATACAAGCGAAAGACCAATCAACCAATAGAGGGACATAAGAATAAGCCTGTAACTTGAAAACGGAAATATTATTTGAGGAATGGAGAACACAGCATACTATTTTTGTTGAATCGGATGATTAGTTGAGTTTCAACGAGATGGAATGGTGCAAACGATTCTTCCAAGTTCCATCCATTACATCTTGGCGAAAAATTTGTCTCTGGAGTTTATTAGTAAGGCAAGCAGAATAGCATCTCATCACGGGATCACCGTGAAGGACAGAGATCACAGTTCAGTATATCGGATATTAGGCTGCAGATCGCTTCCTTCTTCAGAACCCAACAGGTGATCGTGTTCTTCTTTTCCACTCTTTTGGTGGAGTTCATGTAACCCATCACTATCAATTAAATTACACATACATAAATAAGGAGGAGCTCTACCTGTGTCAATGTGCGACAATCAGATTCCAAGGAAGCGACCTTTCTCTGTTCGTCCAATATCTGAGAGCATATTTGACCTTTTGCAGTCATCATCTGCTCCGTTTCTTCTTTAAGTTTTTGAATTTCAGATTTTGCTGGACAAACAACGTTTTTAAAAAGAAAAGCAAGTTAAGTACTTTAAGAACAGGAAAAGATTGATCGCTTTTAACAATTCTATACAGTAGCATACACAACAAAATTACCCGAAAGCAATAATGATTGAAATAAGAGGATCAAAAGATTTTAGCCAAACTAACAATAACTTGCACGAATTGATTGGGTAAATACTTTCGAGGAGATATAGAAGAAGAGTAAAGCTTACATTCAAAAAGTTACTGTAATTATCACACACCAGGTCAAGAAGAATCACGCAGCTCCCAAATCAATACAACAAGCAGATGAATTATTCTCACGAAAGGTACCTCACACCTAGAACAAGGTCCACATATCCAATCAAATCATAGGGACAAGGAGAACAAACACCGACTTAGGGTTGGAAAGATACTCTCTGAAACAACCAGAAATATCAACAATGCACATCCGACATTGGGGTCCGCTCGTGTACAAATAGACCTAGCAAGTCTAATCCACTAATAAAAGACTGACATTTAGTGTTACTGGTACTAGCCAATGAGTTTAGAAAAACCATTACATACCTTACTGAGCTCTTGCAGAAATTTATTACGGTTTATAGTATGTAATTGGCAGGTAGATAAGCAAAAGCAGATAGAGTAAGCACCAGTAAAAAAATTGTCATCTATTAATGGTATTGTTATTTAAAAAAGATCGTAGTCTTTGGTGGATCCACTAGGAAACGGGTAAGATACTGTAACTGAAGCTAAACATAAACCTCGAAGACAAACATACAGGGACAAACTAATGCACGTTAAGAAATGGAGCGCACACATATGCGGATCAGGTAATACATATGTTTGCACATACACCTATCATGTCCTAATCATGTGTGCCTGTGCCTGCGCATGCTCATGTGTGTAAGAGAAGAAGTAGCGAATAAGAGAGAGAAACCAAACCAGAAGTGAGGTCGCTTTCCAGAGATTGAATGGTAGTAATCTGCATTTGCTCTTCGACCGACATCTTGGCCGCCTGATCCTCCACATCTTTTGATACACAATTGCAATTCAGCAACAAATTTTACACATAGGTGTACATGTTCTACTTCAAGAGAATGACAGGAGGTAGAGACGCACCGTTCATTTGACATCGCAGAGTCTTCATGTACTGCAAGTATTCCTCCATCTCAAACTGTACATACATTCATATCATGTGTTATCCAATGTACAAAAGTGGAAAGTCATCAAACAAAAGTGCTTTTCCTTAAGAATTTCCGTGCAGCAATACTGCGTTGTCAAAATCAAATCTAGTGAAAACACGAGATTAATTTCCGATTATGAACTAGCATCTCCGACTCCTTCGTCGACAGAGCCCTGAGCTGAGACAGATCGTGTAAGAACTGGACATTTTGGAAACCTCTGTATCACACCACGAGGAGAAGCTCTAGTGCAGTGATCAAAGAAACCGCTAATCTCGCGACGAAATCACAGAAACGCATCGTTCAGCTGTAACCGCTGAATGACCGAGCGAAGCGCGCTCGAGTCCTCGAAGGAGGCGGAACTAAGTACAGCAGAGACGCCGCACCGGCGACGGTGTCGCGAGCTCGTGATGGCGGCGCTGCGAGCTCGACGTCACTAGCGATCGCGCCGACGGCGTCGTGAGCTCGCGATCGCGGCGATTCCTAGGCGACGAAGAACAGAGAGACGCACCTGATGAGAGAGAGATGACCGAGCGACTTGGCTTTGGCGCGGCGACGGCGACGGCGATCGGCGACGGCGATCGGGGAGAGAGAGAGAGTGAAGCTGAAGGAGACGATGGGAGGATCGGACGTCGGGAACCTGCTAAAATTGGGCGCAAAGAGACGGTAATTTATAGCCTCACCCAATCCCGTACCCGCCAAAACGGAAAGCGGAAAAAATAAATAAAAGAGGAAATGAATAGTCTCTAATATTGATCATGATCGGTGTACCGGAGTACGTACCAAATTTTTTTGAACGGTGACTTACACACTTGAATATTCACTTAACTCGATTCCTTGGGTCCTTCCTTTTCTAGAAAGTTAAAAATTATCAATATCGATAATCCTCGATGTTATCATAAGAATTCTATATCCACAATAAAATATGCCTTGGCTAGCACGAAAACTACTCATTTTGAACAAGTCTCTCGTAACCACCTCCTTTTCGTAATTTTAGCGGGAGGAAAGCTGTTTTCTTTTTTCAATACGATGAAGGAGGGAATGGTCCAAAAATAAAGAAATAGACTAAGAAATTCTAACATGTTTGAGAAAGCAGTGACTTTTAAAATTTCTAACGATAGGTCTTCCATAACTAGTAGATTTCCCGTTTGAATGAGTCCTTACTTTTGCCGTGACATCTAGTGGTGGCCACGGGCCGGTTTCGGCCCGGAACCGGACCGGAACCGGCCCGGTCAAACCCGGGCCCGGCCCGTTGACCGGGCCCGCGGTTCGGAATCGGAACCGGCCCGTGCCCTACAGGCCCGGTTCCGATTCCAGAAATTTTTGAACCGGCCCGGAACCACCAGTTCCGGGCCCGGTTCAAAAAAAAAAAAAAAAGAAGCTGCAATGCTGCTACGGCCTGTTGCCAGGACAGCCCCTGGCAACGGGCAAATTTAAAAAAAAAAAAAAAAAAAACCCCCGCAGCAAGGCCTGCACGTCTGCAGGCCTGCAGCGGGCTTGCGCCTTGCGGCCCGTTGCCAGGGCAGCCTTTAGGCTGCCCTGGCAACGGCCAAGGCCAACGCCCAAACGGGCAAAAATTTATAAAAAAAAAAAGATAACTGTTGCAAAATTGCAACGGTTGTCTTTTCTTTTTTTTTAATCCTAAATTTTCTTCTCATTTTTTTCTTATAAATTCTCTCAAATTCTCTCAATACTCACAATTCTCTCAAATTCTCTTCTCTCAAGTCTCAAATTTTCTCAATACTCGAAATTCTCTCAAATTCTCTTAAATTCTCTCAATTTTCTCAATCCACGCAATTCTTTCTTAATTCTCCTAATTAATCCACTCAATTCTCTCAATCCACTCAAAAAATGGCAAGTGGAAGTCGAGTGCCAACTGGCAAAGGTAAGAATATCATGACGGAATCCCATCATTCTTTTGATCCTCGTGAATATGCAGATTTTCAAGATGATGAAATCAACATTTTTCCCGATGTGGAGCACGTCCCGACGCAAGAAAGTTTTCATCCTCCTGCCGAAATATCTACAACAAAGGAAGCGGAACGAGAATTTATATCTGACATTTGGAATCACTTCACGAAAATGGAAAGGTTTGATATTGGTCAAAAAAGGTATGATATAATTTGTAAATATTGTGGGAAAATATATAAATATACAGGTGGACAAGGATATGGAACATTTAAACGACATCTTAGGAGCAAACATCCAACCGAAACGGGAATCGATATCGGGCAACAACAAATTTCCGGGTACGTCAATCCTAACACTTCCCCTTTATTTCGTTTTAATGAAAAAACTTATAAGGAAGAATTAGGCAAATTTATTTCCGTTGAGCATTTAGCATTTAATTTTGGAGAAAGATTTGGTTTTAATGAATTTGTACAAAAAGCATGTGCTCCACAAGCAAAACGTGTTCCTAGAAATTCAACTAAACGAGTAATTAAAGATCTTTACAAAAATGGAAAAAAAGATTTACAAAACTTTTTTATGCAATTTAATGGATGCGTGCATATAGGTAGTGATATTTGGAGTGATCATTGGCAAAATCATTCTTACATGGGCATAACATGTCATTGGATAGATGACGAGTGGAGTATTCAAAAAAGAGTTATTGCATTTAGAGTTTTCGATGATAAGCATACGGCAAATAATATTTATAGAATAATTAGGCAAGTTTTAGAAGAATATTATTTGCTTAACAAAATTTTTTCAATTGGTTTTGATAATGCCGCAGCAAATACCGCTTCAATTGCCGATTTAGAAAATATTTGTAAACCCGCTTTTGGCGGAAAATTTTTTCACGTTAGATGTGCTTGTCATGTTTTAAATTTATGTGTACAAGATGGTTTGAAAACTCTTGATATTTTTCTTCAACCAATAAAAACAGCGATTCAATTTTTATGGAAACATCCCAAAAAATGAAAGAATGGGGTAAATTTTGTAGAGAAAATGGCAAAAAGCCAAAAAGATTTCCAAGAGATGTTCCAACTCGTTGGAATTCTACTTTTCACTTGCTTAGTGAATCTTTAGCATATAAAGATTTATTATGTGCATTCATTTCTAATAATATACCTCATATTAATTTATACCCACAAGAGTGGGATATTTGCCAAAAAATTTTAGATGTTTTAAAGGTTTTTAATGATGCAACTTATACTTTGTCCGGTGTTTATTATCCTACTACACATTTATTTTTAGTAGAGTGTACTAATATTGTCGGAATTTTTGATGAATATGAAAATGATGTTGAATTACAACATACTATCGTTGCAATGAAAATGAAGTGGCTACATTATTATAGCGAAATTCCCATTATTTATTTAGTTGCTTGTATTTTTTATCCGCGTTGCAAATTGGATGGCTTAAATGATTTTTTGCGAACGTATTATCAATGTTTACATTATGATGCGATAAATGTTACAACCATAGTACGTGAGGTTAAACACGTAGTAATAGAAATATATAATGAATTTTATACTAAATATAATTTAGGTGATATTGGATCTTCTCAATCTACTGAGATACAAAATGACAATACAGGTAAAATTAGTAGAGGGTACCAACTTTTATTACATAGACAAAAAAAATAAAAGGGAGTAATAGGAAATATTTCTGAATTAGAGATTTATCTAACCGTTTCATTTGAGTTTACTGAATCCGAAGGTGGTACAGATTTTTTAATTTTGGATTGGTGGAAGAGGCACGCAAGCCAATACCCAATCCTTTCTCTTATTGCAAAACAGATTTTTTCAACCCCTTGTTCCACAGTTGCGGTCGAACAAGCATTCAGTGCCGGAGGTAATATTTTGGACGAACATCGTTCAAGATTAGCTCCAAAATCAGTGGAAATTCAAGCTTGTGTTGCTGATTGGACGAAGGCTCAATACCGGCAATAAGAGATAGATCGGAATAATGAATCCGAATTCTTTAACGACGGAGATACTACCGCTACCGGTACCGGTACCGGTACCGGAACGGGTAGTGACGATTGAGGGTAAAAGAACTATTGGAGTTGGTAAATATTTCGGGAACCCTTGTTTCTCATACCGGGTACGCCCACGTGAGCTTAGGGAAATCGAAGTATAATCCGACGACATGTGACCTCTGGTCCCCTGCGCACGGAATGCTTAGGTTTTGGGATCATTTTAGGGCATATATATTGTGCTCCTTTTTTTTATAGATCGTTGTAACGAATTGTAATGTGCTTAATGATAATTTATTAAGTTCAAGCCCTCTCTTTCTCTCTTGTCTTTTTGTCCCCAAATTTGATTACAACTTATATTGAATAATGTTCCGTAACCGGAACAGTAATTTTTTAATTTTTTATTATTTTCTTTTCTGTTTTTTTTCTTTTCCTTTTCCTTTTCTTTTTCCGAACCGACCGGTTCCGAACCGGAACCGGCCCGGAACCGTCTGGTTCATACTTGGCCACGAACCGGAACCGCCGGTTCCGAACCGGAACCGCCGGTTCCGAACCGGAACCGGTCGGTTCCAAACCGTGGCCATGACTAGTGACATCAACACAATAATTTGGTTATCTGAATACGTGCCTCGTCTTGTATTGAGGAGAGCCTTGAATTTAAGCTCCATGGCAAATATGGAGTTAAACATCTTCTTAAAAAATGATCGTTTGTATCGATTGTAAACATTAATGAATGAAAAAATATTTTCGCCATCAACGAACATGTCAAAACATAAATTGTCATCAATAATGAAAATATTTTTTATTTACTAATTATTTTAAGCAATACAAACGATCATTTTTAGGAAAACTGTTCTCCAAATCATTTATCTTCTGCGAAATAAACGAGACCTTAAGAAATAAAAGTCGTAAATAGAAATTGTTGAGAGTTGTATCGAAAAAAGACATTTGCATGGTTTTTGCGCGGAAGTCCCCATTGCCTAAATGAATTTTCACTTTAATGCACCGTCTTTGATGGCCACCCCGACATCGATGGGCAAACTTTAACCGATTAAAATCTCAGATCTCGAGTGACCATTCAAGTCCGAAACGTCCGGGTCACTGTCTCGTCACAGTCATCTCGAGCGAAAGGACCGCCGATTTGGTTTCTAATGGGAAAGGAGGTATTTCTAGCGCTCCTCTTCTTGTAGGTTTGAAAATTTGTTCCGTCGGCGCCGGTTAGAGGGACCGAATTGGTTCGAATAAAAAACACACGTGATGAGATTAACTAATCATAATCAATTTTAAGGACCAAATTGAACAATGACTAAGGATTCGAGGACCAAATTGAAGGAAAGACGTATAAATATCTGGAGTAGAACTGACAACGCCGGGGAAACAAAACAGGTTCCTCAAGATTGAAAGCAAGCGTGTCTGCAAGCTCATAGCAAATAGCTAGCTAGCTATCAAGCAAGCAAGCAAGCCCCGCGATTCGAAGAGAGATTGAAGGCGGTGAATCTCTGCGCATTGCGCGACCCAATTCGATTCGACGGCTCGGTTCGAGCTTCGCATTCGCGCCTGGATCTCGAGGGATCGCTGGAGTGGATGACGATGCGGATTCTGGGAAGTGGGCTGATGCCTTGGTTGCACGGCAAGGTCGTCGATCCCCTCCTCCAGATCCTCCGCAAGTACCCTCTCTTTCTCTTTCCCTCTCTCTCTCTCTCTCTCTCTCTCTCTCTCTCTCGAGTGGCTGCACAGCTTGCATGTGGGTTACTGCAATGTTTGATGTTGCTCCGTTTCGTTCGCTACGTCGAAGCCAGCACGCGTTTGTGGTTTGAACGGTGGGTTTGGGATCTATGGAAGAAGCGGGTTGCCCGGGTTTCTGAGTTCCTGGGTCGATTGAAAGATGAGATTTTAGATCTCCGTCGTCGTTGCGATGATGCTTTGGTTGCTCCAGTTCGGATGTCCAGAACGTGCTGTTCCGATCCTGGGTCCTTTTTTGGCGTTGCGTTTGTTTGCGTGTGAAGACATTCTTCTAAGCCAGAATGGTTACGGTAATCGAGGGTGACGAAGGATTGACGTTTCTTCTGAATCTTGAACTCGCAGGGGTGCAGAACCAAAGCAGCTGGCGTTTTCTGCGGCTCTTGGGATTACCCTCGGCGTGTTTCCAATTTGTGGTATGTTTGTTCTTCTTTACCTTTGGACAATGGAGCGATACTTGCAAAACCAAAACACTGCATTTGGCATCCATTTTTTTAGTCCCGGTACACAGTTAGGATTTGAGCTTTTGGGCTATGAGCTCAAGGTCTACCCTCATCCTTATTAATTCGGCCTACTAGAAGCTTGGCGGTACTCTCGTAAGAGTCTTGACATTAAACTTGTAGAGACATGTCAAGTTGGCACGCATCATCCCATTCTAGGAGCCATGTAAGTCTGGCACGTATCCCGTAGTTGAAGAAAGAGCAATGGAACTCGATTTTTTTTGCTCACATTCATAGGCGGTTCTACTAAAAGAGGGACCAGCCTCATTGTGGAGTGCATAATAGAAACACCTCTTTCTTCCCTATTTTGGACCAGAAGATTGCACTGCATCAAGCATTTCAAATGCGAGTTGATGGGCTCATTTTATGTTGAACAGGTGTCACGGTCTTTCTTTGTGGAGTGGCGATTGCCTTGCTTGGATCTCGATGTCATGCCCCCAGTGTGATGCTGTTTAATTTCATGGCTACTCCTTTAGAATTGAGGTAAGCAATTTTGCGGCAGCACTATGCTTCTTGCCCTGAATAATTGAAATAGGACAAGACTATATCAGTATATCTAGAAGCTGCTGACTTCTGTTGATAGTCCCCATTTAGTTTTCACAGATAATTGGATGTTCAGTGGACTAAAAGCATAAGGCTCTAAAGAGTGACTTTTCATTATTAAATGATTGGATAACCAGGGGTCATGTGTTTGATACTTGGCCGACGTTAACATAATGTACGTTTAGAATAAAAGTTTCCAAATATGCTAACCAGCAGAAAACTGATAGTGCTTTAGGTGCCACAAAAAGAATTTGCTAGGCTAACACTCGACATCTGAAACCCTTATCTCCCCAAAGAGCCTCTTGACCTTAACTGGTAAGTTTGAGATAAAGGACAAAAGAGAGTCAAAGTGTGGGAGTGATGCTTTCGGTGCACAGTTTTGGATGCAAGTCAGGAAAGGATCTACTTCTGGAGAGTCATAATGGCATAAATCAGTAAATCACATCTTTAGTCACATATTTGGCCTTTTCTCATAGCAAAGTCATTGTCGTTACATTTGTCAGACTAAGAGCTTAGACCATTGCAGAACTCTGACTAGCCGAGTAGTGCAAGCTGAAAAAGAAGTTGCCCCAACCAAGTAGACCATTTGTCATTCAATGTTATGGGTAAGTGTGTTGTTGATACTTAATGTTGCAATTAAATTTAGATCAGTAGTTAGATACAATCCTTGAACTTAATTTGCCAAATTGGCAATCAACTGTGCAGTTCAAAATCTGAACTTTGAGCATAATTTTGATGGGGAACAAGTTGTATGGCCGAGCTCCAGCAGATGAGCTACTGTTTGGACTAATCAGAAGCCACTTGGTTCCTTAGAGCTTGCTCTCATATCCTCTCAAATCTTAAGGAATCTATTCTCCCAAGAAATCTACCTCTTCCTATCCTGACCCATGACACAGTTTTGGCCCCAAGTTTCATGGATGAGAATGAGAATGACTCTGATTATCGGAGCAGCTCTGTGGTTCTCCGGACAGACCAAGCAACACCTGAGCACGACCCCTTACAGTTGCTTATGGTTTGGATGTTTTGGAGTTCAGTTTTGTCTGCTAAGGTAATGGATATAGGGAGAATCAAGCTGGTGATAGGAGCTGGTCCTTAATCATCAAGACTGGACCGCTCAATGACTGAGCAGTAGTTGTTTGAATTTATAATTTCCAACTGTCTTTGTCATAGTTCACGAGAGACAAGTCTTGTAGCTTCCTGCTTTGGATAGTGTACCAGGAATATGAGAAGAACAAGTTTTAGAGATTAGTTTATGTGCCATCAAAATGGAATCCATAATATTATACTTAACACCCCTTTGAGAAGGTAACCACCGAGGGCCTTTTTGCAACAGAAATCCTAACAATGTTACTGTCTGATTGAATCCATAAACTGCTTTGATCTCCATTGTAAGCTTAGTGCTGAATGAGAGTTCACATTCACTGTGATTTCAGCCTTTGTTTTTCAGTATATTTAGTTCCTAACCCTATATGCTGTTTGCATGAAGCTTATTGTGAGTTATACTTCCAAATTCAGCTTGCCAGCAACTTATTTTAGTTTAATTTGTTTCTTGGAACATGTTTGTTTGGCCTTTGAAGTCTGGTGGTTCCATTTCTGCGCTTTGGCGAGTTCATATCAGGGGGGCCTCATTTTCCACTAACATCTGATGCCTTGAAGAAGGTGCTAATGGGTCGTGCATCTCGTGAAGTCTTACTGAGTATATGTCATGCGGTAAGTGTGGTCACCCTCTCATTATTTCTGGATTGTCTTTTTTCTTCCCCCTTTTTTGTCTACTTTATTTGGAGAGGCAAATTTATTCCATTTACTCTTCTCTTTTGTTAAAAGAAGTTCCATGTATGTCCTTAAATATGTCATTGTTCTCATGTATAATCCAAATTAAGACTAAATGCTACTAGAAAAACACCGACCACAACTAGGCATAACTAAATGGGTTGGCTATGTGAAACATGATCGCGCTTGAATTGTAATCACTCCTATGTATACCTGTCAAAATGGGTCATAATATGAATGTTCAATAAATTCACAACTTACTTAGACCCAACCCATATTTGATGGGTTGAGTTATTATATGGGTTAGTTATATTCAATAAATGGGTCATAAATGAGTTTAGAATGGTAAAATCCAAAATAATAGAGGAGTTAAATGGGTTCACAATTTACTTAATCCCAATTCACCTTTATAACTCTCTCTTCACTTTGTCTCGCACTCGCTCACTGCGCTCTTTCACCTCAGTTTGGATACAAGTTTTCTTAGATTTGATTAAATATGGAAGTATTTTAGTAATATGGGTTGAGTTGGATATGGGCCACTAAATTTGTATTACATGGAAATGGCTCCATTTGGGACGGACTATTTTCGACCCGACCCATCCCATCCGTTTAATGGGTCTAGTCCTATGTAATATCTATGTGCTCTATATCTTACCTCATGGTCTTCTTCAATGTCTTTTCAATTTTTTGCGGACCCCTTTTGACTTGAATCTTTATCCTATATTGACATCTCACAGCAGCATAGTGGCATCATTACAAGCACCCAAATCATCTCGAGCGAGTCTTGCTCATTTTATCCTTTAGTGAGACCCAATTTTCCTCTACTACATTTTTTTTTAATCCTTTCGTTGTCGAGGCTTGGGGTCGCCTTTTGGTTGTAGGAAAGTCTTCGATTTTGCCTTCATGTCCCCTTACTAAAGTCACAGCTAGTCATACATTTCTTTCGTAGCTCATATATATGCAAATCATGATCCTTTCTTCTCTGGAAATCATTCAGAGAGATTCTCTTGTAACCTTTCTCATATGATTTCTTCAAATCTGTAGAGGTCATTTGCACATCCTCTTGTTTATTCGTACACCTTTACACCTGTATTCTGAAGCATTTCCTGACTTCTTTTGTATTTTAGCAGTTTCTTTAAGCTTAAATACTAGAGAAGTTATAAAAGATTGTGTTCTAGATAATGTCTTAGTAATTGTTCTACCAAGCCAACTGAGGCTTCCTTCCAACCAAAAAAAGAAACTGAGATTTCCTGGCTTTATCGTAGATTACTATGCCCGATTTATCATTATGTTGGGCACAGGGAGTCTTATGGTATTTATGTCTTGGATTTGTGAGAGCTAAAAATCCTTTTGCAGTTATTGGGATGGCTTGTTGCTGCGCCTTTTATTTTCGCCTTCCTCTGTGTATTATCTCTACCATGTTTCAAGCTTTTGGTAAGCAAGTTCAAATCCGGTTCGTCAAGCCCTAAAAAGACCGACCATTCGCCAAAAGATGTCAAGATAAAGGTAAGAGATGTCTGACAGCTGATTACTCCTGCAACCCTTGTGTATATAAGACTATTTTCAGCTTTGTATAATGCTCTGCGGTTGTCATCTTTTATGCTGGTGCTAAGGCGCCATGTGGGTCAGAGAGTAACCTGTGAACGTTATGATCACATTTAGAAATCAATCGGAATCTCTACTGAATATGTCATCCACTCGAATGTGCAGTGGATTCAATGTAATTTGTTCTTTCATGGTTATATGAAACGCATTCTGCCATACTGGTGTTGGCGAAGAAGCAGCTAAACTTACTTGGTTTAGTATTGACGCTAACGTGGAAAAACAATAGCTGAAGGAGCACCAATGTTTCCTCTCAAACATCTATTCGCCGGATATCAGAATTCCCATTTATTTCCTTGATGGTTGTGCTTGAAAGCCGATGTTTTGTATGACTCTGTCCCTCCAATACATTTTACCATGAAAGATCATGAGAAATTCGTGGAAAGGGGGAGAGTCAAACTTGCATCGTACCATAATTGAGACGAGTAACGAAGTAGAGGCATTTTCATTGTCCCTTGCGATTCCTCGCCTCGTAGCGAGGTTTCATTCGAAGAACCCAACTGAATCACTACATGAGGTACCGTAGAGAGAAATTAAATTATTAAATTATTTAGATTCATAAAGAAATAACAAATAATATCGTCATCATAATAACTCTATCATTATACTTAACTATAAATTAATGTCGACTGATATAATGATTTATTGAAATGTAATTATTAAGTGGGTGGGGCTAGACTGACCAATCCCTGGGGTATGCTCTTGAATGAGATGATCCTGAAACAGGAAGGAAAGCTCTCGTTCCCATAATATGGCGATTCCAACTTCTTTAGTGCCACCCAAGCAATTGGACCAGGAACCATGGCCATTCCATCAAACCAAACACAACGTTGTACTGTCAACGAGTCGAATGAAACGGATCGGTCGTTCTAGATCAACAGATGGGTCGTACTAGATCAAAACTTCAGCTCGAGAATTGAATGGGATGGCAGGAAAATTCCTAAGTTCGAGTTTAGATAACCCCTAAACTAGGGTGGCTAGCTGCAAAGATCAAAGAGGTTCAGGACCGCATTGCCTTTTCCTAGTACCTTTTATGGGCCGAATCCGAGAAACTTTTAAGATGAAATGGACCTACAATTTCGCCAAACATATCACAGCGGTCCATTAACTAACTCGACTTCTCTTCACATGATTTTCTCCTAGGCTCTCAGCAGTTTGGAGAGAACGAGGATAATTTATTAATTTCCCTCTCTCTCTCTCTCTCTTCTCCTTCCTTCTATTTTTGTTTGCCCTTCTTGTTTTGGCTTTCCCACTCCTTCGACCAACTAAGAGTTTGCGAAGATTATCGATCATTCCACATAAATTACGTGAATCAATTATTTACAAGAATCGCTCCCGGCCAGTCCACACAAGAAGTCAGGAGGACGAAAAGGCCCTCGTGCAAGAGCTTTTACCGGATACTCCAAATTTACATTAATTCGCTTTACACGAATTTGTCCGATCACGTAGAGTGGGGGCCAGTTCATACGGCAAGGTACTCGATAGTTTTCGTCCGTGTCGCGCGTAGACCCGGCATTCTTCCGTGTCCCAATAGCATTCGTCGCCTCACCAATCTCAGCACGGAGCAAGTACTGAAATGAACGCACATGTACATATTAAATTCAATTCGACACCTTCACCAAATAATTTTTGCCTCGTATATTTTCTTTTCCTTTATTTGGGGGCAACCTGCCTTGGTATTAAATCCGTGATAAATCTGAGACGTCTCTCCCTCTCTCTCTCCCTCTCTCTCCATTCTGACCGCGGCTCCTCCTGTGGCCTTTGCTCGCATCTGAGTTTTTCTCCTCCGTGCTGACACGCCCCGCCCCCACGCCCCGCCCCCCGTTCGGGCCATCATCTCGGCGGATCTGCATTGTCGTTCTCCTGCAACTTCTTGAGCATTTGATCCCATCGGCCCGACCATTTTCTTGTTCTTTCTTGGTTGTCTGGTTTGAAGGAGTTCGTGTGTCACTGTCCTCGGTGCGCCCCGACCGTTTGAAATCTTTCTTTCTCGCGTTGGGGGTGGTGCGGGGGAGAGATCTTGATCCCTTTGCCAAATGACAGCCGGGTCGGCGGAAGATGTCTTCTGAGACCGAGACCGGTTCGAGCTCCGACCCACCAGCGCACTGCTGCTCCTCTGCTTCGCCCGGCTCCAGCTTGGCCGAGCTCAAGCTGTACCAGGCCTTCATCTTCTCCGTCCCCATCGTCTTCACGTTCGTCCTCCTCTTCTCCTTCTACGTGTTCTATCTCCGCCGCCGGAGGGCCGATTGGGTGTCTCTCCGCATGCGCGCTTCTTTACCGATCGATGGGCAGAACGTCGACGTCCCCAGAGTAAGAGACCGATGGGTCCTCGTGTTTTTCTTCCCCCAAGGTTGGATCTTGCTCTGATATTGTTGCTGACTGATCGATTTCTCATTGGCAGCCTGAAGTGGGCCTGACGAAAGAACTGAGAGAGATGCTTCCCGTCATTGTGTATAAAGAGAGCTTCTCGGTCAATGACTCACAGTGAGTACATGATGCAACGGCCTTTTTTCTTTAGTGTTTGAGGACCTGTGTGGCGTGGCTTACTGTAATGTTGCCCTGCTTGTTGCTCTGTCTCGGGATGTTTTAATCGGTTTCGTCATCTCTTTTGTGTTGTTGAAATGAAACTCCTAGAGGCTACAGGTGGGACACATGATGCGTAGAATTAATTCATCTTAGCTGATTCAACTGGACATAGATGCTGTACATTCGAACATTTTAATCATTCTTGATGGGGTGATTTGGACATTCTCGGCATCTAAAGAAAGCATAGTCTCCGGGCTTTCAGCTTTTGGATTCGGAAGGACTTTTGCTTATCACAAACTTCAGCATTGTAACTCACTGGAAAATTTAGAAGGCGAATACATAGCAGAGTTTTAGAGTAAATTGCTCAAGAAAAGATTGTTGCCTCACGGAGATTGTGTTGGCTTGATTGGTTGGTCATCTTATTTACTGGGCACTTCTTTATCGTCTTATCTTTTGCCCAACAGGTGTTTAGTAGACAACAAGACGAAAACTATGCGCATTTGACATGTAGGTTAGTGGTGGACACAAGTATTCAGAACTTTATAAAGGGGGTGATTTTGGGTCAAGTCTTGTTATCTGGCTTTAGCCAAGGCGGAATCTTGATTCTCGTGGAGCAGTACTATGGGAAAACCTCTTAGACAAAGTTAAGTGGGTACCTTTAGGTGGGAAGTGAAGTGATGAAGTATCGTATCCACCCACAGAGTTCAAAATAGAGAAACTTTCTTAGTAGTGGTTTTCTTTTTTGGGGCATGGCAGAATCAGTGAAAGATCCTACGCATAAGCTTTAAGGGTAAGGCATTTACCTGCATTGACATAATAACTGTGGATGAAATGGCTCATGTCATTTTTTTCCTCTTTTTTTTATTTTTCATGAGAGTGTGGGTATAACTTTGAAGTAAGTTGGTCCTGCAGCTTCAAGTATGTAAATGTTATATAGGAAAAAAGTATTCTTTGGCTTCTTTAGAAGGGGATAAATCGGGGAGAATCAAAGAGAAATAGTTTTCCCTGGGAATGGCACTTTGCTGTTACAGGTGCTGCTTGTGATTTTTTTTCATTCATTTGTTCTATTTAAAGTTTTTTCTTAACCAATTGGCACATATTGGTCCATCATGAGAAGTGCCTGGTTCAGCAATCCTTGAATAGTGGTTTTGGGGCTCTGCAAGCATGCTATAATCACACTGAATCTCACTCTGGTGGTTTGGTCATTTACAATTTGTGTTGGGCTCGGGGTGATAAATATGTGAGAGATAGAAATTAAAATTGCAGCTTTTCGGAGGTGCCGGTGCATGCTTATTTCCAGACTGCTTGGCATTGCTGCTCAGCTTTATGGCAGGCTATTGCCTGTTGATGGTGATACTGTCCATTAATTGGAGCGTACTGCAAAACGCACCCTGAGGAAATCCGAAGGGATAAAGTTACGAATGTTAGCTAGAACTTTTAGTTAGTTTGATGCACATTTTTAACATTAAAACGATGACCTGATCTTTTGATTGTCTATTGATCTTTTAATTGTCTATCTTTCATAATTTGAAAACTCCGTGGCTGCAGATGTTCGGTGTGTCTCGGGGACTACGAGGCCGAGGATAGGCTTCAACAAGTACCGGCGTGTGGTCATACTTTTCACATGGGTTGCATTGACCATTGGCTTGCCACCCACACGACCTGCCCCCTTTGCCGCGCCTCTCTTCTTGCTCCTACTAGATCCATTGAGGTCCAAACAGAAGCAGGATGTGGATCTTCTGCCCAAGAGGTTCTGCAGGTTTTTGAAGAAACACATACCATGCAATCTCAGCAGGAAAATGGTTTTCTCAATGAAGAAACAGACTCTCAACCTGTTGTTCTTGAAACAGAACGGCATCCTTGATTGGCTTGAGGATGGTGGACGATTCCTATGGGTCAGCACTTCATCTCCCGCTCAATTCATTCAACATTTCATTTTATTCATGAAGCCGATTTTAAAAATCAGTTATTTAGATCCATTAGGCCAGCTATTCAATGTAGATTAACTGACATCCCTGATTTGAGCAATAAAAAAGTGTGCCTCAGTCAATCTAGAATTTCTACTGACTAGGAGATTCAATTAGATTGAGTTCTGTCTCTTTGCTTCTGTTCTGTCTCCGAAGTACCTCATGGAGCATTTATAATGGGCTTGTACCAGGATTAGATCCCTGCACTTGTATTTCTGATAATCTATGATACAAGTTCTTTGCCCGCCAATACCGGCTCCTTTGTATCGGTTTGTCGGAGCTTTTATTTTACTCGTGGTAGCTGTTGATTTTCTCTCAAACTTTCTGTAAGCGATATTGTCCCCATCCATTCATTTGGTCAGCTAATTGTCTGATATCTTGCACCGACAGCAATTGACTCACGGTAGGTCTTGCAAGCGAAGCTTTAGGTTTCCTGTAGAAAGCATTTGTTGTGATAGAGAACCACCATGTTTCTACTGAAAATTCTCTTGGAGTAGTGATCATTTCATTTCTATTTTCATCAACAAAACATGTTGGAATTATTTTGTAAGAGCTGAAGTTTACCAACAAGATCAAACAAGTTGATCGCATCAGTCAAGGATTGAGCCACTTGGGAGTTCCAAGACAGTTATCTCGAAGGCCGCCGTCTCGCCAGTAAGAAGCTGCAAGCTTTTATATGTCGATTAGAAAAGTTGAGAACTCTGTTGACTTTTACTCGAAGTAACTTTCTCAAATGAGGTTGAGCGAGGTTTGCCTGGTCTTGACGCGATCGGAAACCTAATCGAGCTACATGCTTTGGTTGGAGAGAGGCTCGATAGATTGGAAATCACTAGGTAAGATTAACATTGTTAATACCTAAACCTTTCAAGTACTCCAAAACTTCCATTTGCAACAAGTCATTCTCATATACTTAAATAGTGCCAACATACATGTCTTACACACCCAAGAATAGAACGTACTTGGATCAAATCCGTGCTACGCGTAAGGAGGGCTTGTATGGTCTCTGATGGGACCAATCTATCGTCGTTACATAACGGTAGAGGAGAGGTGGACTATCGAGAAATGGTGGTGATGTTGATGGTGGAACTCCTATCAATTGGAGACGACGTGGGTGGCGATGGTGGTGACGATATACAATCAATCTTCTTCTATCTCGCAAAAAATAATGACTTCGTCACCCGTAGTTGCTAAACGTTCTCGCAGTTACCATTAATAATGGTCAATTAACTTCAATCATCTTTTTCTCTTTAAACTTAGCATTCGATTGTTGTGGAAATACGAGTTTGACCAAAAAGCAGATTTAATAGCATCAACTTCAAAGAAAAATCAGAATATTGATTAGCGATAATGACACAAATAGTCTCTGAATTTTGGTCCAATATACAATGTGATTCATAAACTTTTAGTTTATTCAATGTGATCTCTAAACATTAACCCAATATACAATATGATCCCTAAAATTTTAATTTTTTCAATATGGCCCCTGGACTAGTCCCTGAACTAAATGAAAATGTACATTGGGATTAAATGAAACATGTATCAAAAATCCAGTGATCACATTGAACAAATTAAATGTTCATGGATCACATTACATATTGGGTTAAAGTTCAAAGACCATATCGAACAAATTAAAAGTTCCAGGAACATGGGCCAAAGTTCCGGAATTGCTCGTGTCATTTTTCCTATTGATTATTCTAAAGTTCTTCCTTTTACAGATTAACATACACGTTTTCCAATTCACACCATTTTGTGGCGGTGATGTCTCTCTATACGGCGGTAGTTCTCTTTTCTTATCTGATGTATTAATATTATAGGCAGGCAGGCGATCACATACCCTATTTGCATCTTCAAATCATCATGAATCATCTACGGTTCTCTTTATTTCATAAAAGATGAAAAGGGGTTGGACAAAATCAATTCTTTATGAGATTTCTTGCCGCCTGCATGTGGATGACCTGTGCCTGAGCGCAAAGACGAAGTAAAATAACGTGGGACGCGCGTAGGCTTGCCTGTTCGCCAATGGAACACAAGAGGAGGAAGGGTCAACTCGGCTCAAGCTCAGCTCTAACTGGCATGAGGGTGATTGGCGATTCCGTTGCATTCTGACCCTTACAATCCCCGAAATCCGCCTGCCCCGAATCTCGCCCCACCCACGCCGTCTTTTGCAGTTGGGAAGGTGGTTTAGATCATTGCAGTTCTTGAACGGGTCAATTTCTGCAGATCGTTGCCAGTGACGTTGTCAAGAAACTTTCAAGTTTCATATCTGTTGGGTCGTCGAGAGATTTCGAGGACAAATAGACGAGAACAGTGTTTGACTCGCGAAATTCTTGATTCTGTCCTCCTCCTCTTCTTCTTCTTCTTTTATCCGTCCGCTTCCTTGTAAGTATCTTCGTTCTTTTCGTTTCCCCTTTATCGATCGCTGACTCTTGATCCGTTTCTTTTTGCTTCTGTGTGTAGTTCTTGGTAATTTTTTTGATGGGTTATTTCGCCAGATTTCTTTCATTCTAGGAGATACCGGGTGCACCCTCTTCCATGCATTGAGATCGGGTTTTCAACGTTTATCAGGGGTCGATTGCTTTATGAGAGCTGGCTGAAGGAAGTGACCATATCCGTTCATTGGTTGTTTTGATTACTGAGCTGAAGGACCCCTTGTGACCCTGCTATTGAAGAGGGTTTTTGAGGGTTGTGTCCAAGATCTGAGTTCTCACAAGCTGAGAGGGGTGCTTCAATTCTGAATCTATTTTGGCTAGTGTCGGTCAAACAATCTTTTGTGGGCATCATGGATACTATCCCGAATATGGTTCACTATTGTTCCGTGTCAAGGGGAAACAGAATTCTTTATGCTTATAACGGGGGCAACCCCGAGCTAGATAACTTGGGCGCCTTGTGCTTGGAAAACACTCCTGCTTTCCATAGATGGTACTTTGAGACTGTGGGTAAGAGGACCTTCGGATTTCTGATTGAAGATGGTCACATCTATTTCGCGATTCTTGATGAGGGTCTCAGGGACCGGGGCGTCCTGCAGTTCCTAGAGCGCGTGAGGGACGAATACAAAAAGATTGCTAGAAAGGGCTCGAGGGGAAGTTTGTCGAGTATTAACTCGGTCATAGTACAGGAAAAGCTAGTACCTGTAATACAGCACTTGATAACTTCGTTGGAGCAAGTTCCTCAGGGTGGTGATGACTGGCCAATTGAAATCGCTGCATTGGATCAGGCAGGCTTGTCCCCGTCGCCGAGTAAAATGGATGGGGTAAATGAAATCGGTAGCTCCACTAAAGCCCCTTTGTTGGGCAAGATTGGTGTGCAAGAGAAGAAGAAGACCAAGGATCATGTTCTTGTGATGCGGGATATTGAAGTGGAGGAGCACCGGAGGTCATCCGACAGAGGAGTCAGAGTTGATTCTGCTGGCCTGGACTCTACCAACCTAAGCAGATCAGGTTCTGCTGTCTTAATGCAGAAGGATTTTGGTTCCATGAGGAATAGATCAGGCTCACAAAACATTAAAAAGAGATGGTGGCGCCTAGTTCGCATTGTTCTTGCCATTGATGCTGCTGTCTGTGCAGTTCTCTTTTCCATTTGGTTAATGATTTGTCTCCGAACCGAATGCATGCGCTGAGGAATTTTCTCTGCTGTGATGCTGCAATTTTTCTCATTCAATGAAGACAGTTAGTGGAGGGTTCAAGTTCATGCTCTTCTGATCACTACAACTTGGCTTCCAATCTCACAGATCAAAGTAGCTGGCTTCTTGGCCATTTTGAGATCATGAAGTGGGCCTTTTTCAAGGAAGGATCTGAATGGGATGTTCTTGATATTGTTGACTGTCTCATAATCCTCTTGGAGGTAAAGTGATTTACGTTGTATCTGTGATACAATGGAAGTCATTGGATCTAGGGTCCCCTATGCAAAAGGAAAGAACGTTAAGATGACAAGAAACCATAGGGATCTTGGTTGGAGTATCTATACCATACTTGCATTGGTGACAGTTGTAATTATTTTACATGTTGAAAATGCGAGTCTCCCTTTTCCTCTCTAAATTATGTTTGAACTTTGTAGTTGCATCTCTGTAGTGTCGAAAACACATTGTAAATCTTGCAGCTTTTTACCTACATGTTTGATCCCTTCGTAGTCCATGTCATTGCTAAAATACTAATTGTGCTTTTTTGGTGATTCTTGTTTTTCACTTTGGAATTGTTTAAAAATGGCGATGTCAATATTAACATAGAAAAATAGTTTCTTTACAGTGGTAGTCATAATTGATGATTCTGAAACGATAAAATATATTTAAGTAGGCCGGTAAAAGATTAAATCATAGTTTGTTTAGGGTGGTTTACTCTTTTAGTTGGAGCCTTTGGCTTTAAAGTGACTCTAGTGTTTGGCTTTAGTAATGACTTCTATAGAGATTTGTTGGGAAGGTTCAACTTCTGAAGCTGTTATTTACATGGGGTTTACCAAAAACTTAGAAGTATAGACACAACTATAAAGGAAATTACTCTTATTCGAAGAGTAATTTTTGAAGGAGATGGATTTCATAACTATTCAATGTGTGTCAATGGTCACTTACTCTGCCTTATCAATGGATCCACCAATTGGTATATTTCAACATTCTGTCTCCTGGAAAAAGTATGATTGATGAGAGAGTGGGAATCTATGGTGAAAGTCAAAAGCATAAGCCACGAATCCCTGAGGAGAGGGGAGGGAGTAGCTTTTGCCATAACTCGGTGTCAGCCTTTACATATTGTGTTTTGATGCCAAATACTCACTTAGAATCTGTAGGAAGCTCTTAGCGGAACACACTTTGTTTAATCAGAATCTACTTCCTGAGTTTTCTGTATAGCCCAAGAAGAATGAACTTTGGTATTGTGTACTTTGAGGCACACGTATATATCATCCTTCGTGATGTTCTAGATGGTGTAATTGTCGACATGGATAATTGTCTTTTGCATCACATGCTAGGATTATCTTGACAAGGCATCTAAGTTGGATCTTATGCTTTGAAGTCTAGGCTCTATTAGAAGATGGAGATATGAGATGGATATAAATATTGTATTGATGGAATGGGTAGATGCTGATTACAATTATATAGCAGGGAATACCCAGACATACATTTGATGTTTTACATGAGTTTCTTGTCAAATGAGACAATGCATAGCGTGTTTATGAGCATAAAAAATAGTGCGAGTAATGATCGAGGAGTCTAGGTATTAGAGAGGAGAAATAGCTTTTACGGAGAGGAGAGATCATATTTACACCTGTGCTAGTTTTTGCCTATTGCGGAGGCAAGACATTGGCGAGCCTTGGAGAAAACAAGGCATCTACATGAATTCTTGTGCTGTATACTTTGGACGCTAGATTTTGGTTTAATAAACAGCATTTTACAAATGTGGAAGTTGCCATGAACTTTGTTGAAAGATCAAATACTATTGCCACCAACACCTCCATGATGTCTATTATTACTAAATTTTTCTTCTAATCTATTAGGGCAAAAAAACTGCTAGTAGTCACTTGCTGGATTCATCAGGTTCCGTGTTCTGATGCTGATATCGTCCTTAGTATGTTAAAAGATGCATAGGTTAAAAGTTAAATTTAATGTGATCGACGAAGAAATTATTTAAAGTTGATGTCAGTAATGATAAATGTTGCTCAATGATCAATTGGAGCTTCATCTTTTTGGGTCAAGCTCCATTATCATGATGCTAATAATCTATAGAGTATGTAAGTGCTCAGTGGACTGTACTTCATCAGTGTGTCTTTATTAATGGTGTCGATTGCCTTAGCATAGTCGTAAGATACTCCATGCACTTTGCAGCGACTTCATGCTCTGCTGAAGTGAAGCGGCAGGGCTGATAGTTATATAGTTTGATTCAAAGTAAAGATTCTTAACTTATTCCATATGTTTCTCTTCTCGTTGTGTTCGCAATCCACATGTTCACCTTTAGTTCTGACTTCCCTTTCTACTATCCTCGCTTGTTTATGACTCGTTCTTTCTTGCTGATGGAAAACTTGCGCATAGTGCTTCCTTCACCTCTGCCTCTTCTTCATCTGAAGTAGATCATTTTCAGTCCAAACAGTTGTTGCTGATACTACGAAGTTCTTGCTAGTTCTTTCCTTTGAAGGGATGAACTCTAGGTTTCAAAGAGCCGAGGCCATCAGTTGGTGGGGCTGCGAAACTCTTCCGTGAATCAAGCATAGTGTATCTGAGGACTATAAAGTTCGGACGAAGATTTGGAGACTCTAAGGTAAAGGTCACGCGGTTCCAATAGGATTTGACTTTAAGCCTTGTTTGGCCGTTAGAGTTGTTTCTTTTGGTCTTTGCCATAGGGTTAAAACGATTTTAATGGCTTGTCAAGACGTAAAGTTTAATGAAACTTACAGGTGAAACTGCATACATCAAATTGGAGTATCACTCGTGAATGCTTGAATTCTTGGGCTATTAAAGTTGCAAGCACCACCACCCTCTTAATGACATGCATAATGTGGATGAAGAATTTGAATGTGATGATATTAGCTGAGCAAAAATTTACTGTAAAAGAGATATGTCTACACCGTTAATTTGACAGCACTTGAATAGTTGAGATCTGGGAAAAGTACCAAAGAAGTCCTAAATCTTTTGTATTAGTGCCAATTTAGTCCTAAACCTTTTGTTTGTGCCAATTCAGTCCTAAACCTTTTGCATTTGTGCCAATTCAGTCCTAAACTTTTTTATGGTGTCAATTCGGTCCAAAACTTTTTATATTTGTGCCAATTCAGTCCTAAACCTTTTGTTTTTGTGCCAATTTAGTTCTTCCGGCCAATTTTGGCCGGATTTTGCTGACGTGAACGCCGACTGGCCGGCGGCCAGTCACCAGCGCTGACGTGGACAACTTTAATAATATTTTAATATTTTTTTGAAATTTTATTTATTTCTTTCTTTTTCTTTTTTTCTTTTTTTTTCCCCCTCCCCTCCCTCTTTCGTCCAGCCGGTCGCCGAACCGGCAACCTGCCAGAGGCCAGAGGCCTGTGAGGCGGTCCGGCTGGCGAGGTCGACCTCGCCAGCCACAAGCGAGGCTCGCCCTCGTCAGCCACTGGCAAGGGCAGCCTCGCGCTAGGCGGGGCCCAACCTCGCCGGCGCCGACCTCTGGCCTCTAGCCAATCGCCAGTCCGGCGACAGGCTGGAGGAAGGAGGGAGGGGAGGGAAAAAAAAAAGAAAAAAATAAATAAATATTCAAAAAAATATTAAAATATTATTAAAGTTGTTCATGTTAGTGCCGGTGACCGGCCGGCGTCCACGTCAGCAAAATCCGGCCAAATTTGGTTATAAGGACTGAATTAGCATAAAGACAAAAGGTTTAGAACTGAATTGGCACCAATGCAAAAGGTTTAGGACTGAATTGGCACAAAAAAAAAGTTTAGGACTAAATTGACACCAATGCAAAAGGTTTAGGACTTTTTTGGCACTTTTCCCGTTGAGATCTATATTCACGCCAATAGGACGTTGTTTTATCATTCTTCTCTTTGTTTTCCTTGGCCCATCCAGTAACCTTCAGGTTTACCTACCATCTGATGGTTTTCCATTGACCATTTATGGTCGAAGGCCGACGTTCATGCTAGGACTAGAACTAATTGTTATGAGTCGCCTCCGTTTTAAACTACTCCCCATGAATGAGACATTCGACATCCGTTCGATGTCAATATGCCTAGAACTAAGTGCGGATCGATTTGCGAAATCAAAAGAAGGCAATGATCAGATGTACGAACCAAGAAACAACATAATACGCATGAAAGTCTCGATTTAAGGCAATAAACTTAGGAAAGGAGTAGCTGATTCATCCTCATCCAACCTTGAATGATGAATGAACCACTTATATCCAACATAGCATGCTAGCTAAAACATTACAATCCAAGCAGTCTTGTAAATACATCGACGACATTATCAAGGTCCACAGAATTAATAACGAAAGTTTGCACAGAGAGAGAGAGAGAGAGAGCTGATGCGATGGAGAAGATGAATGGAAGATGGACAAGAAGAGGGAGTGGGAGTATGGAAGGTGGGAGCTTCAATGAGAAAGGGTGATGATAACGACTGATGACTTTAAAGTCCTAACCATGGTTGAAACTTGAAAAAGGGTGTTAGCGGAGAAGAAGAACCCAAGGGAAACAAAATATATCCCTATCTGGGTTGCATGCAAAATGCTCTGAGCTCCATCTTCCATTAACGGAGACCTCAAAGTTTTGGTCAGTTATTACAAACCCTAAATGCAAAAGGTTGAGAAATTCCTATTCTAATCCTCCTACCCGTCTCTACTTTGATGGGGCTTGACCTCCCATGGTTCAACCCCCATTGATGCTACAGAAAAAAAAAGGTTTTGAGAAAAATTAACAAAGACATGACTATGTTCCCTTACCCTAAGGGATGATGGTTGATTAGCAGATAGATTATGTGAGAACTCACCATTGACGGTGAAGTATTTAACAAACGCCCGGCTAACTCCTAGTGCTAATTACAGATGTTTAAGACAGTACTACATGTTAAGACAGACAAAATTTGGGGCCCACCTGGCCCTAAATTTCTTTTTCCTAAAACTAACCCTTCATTTTGAGAGATGATTAGTTTCAAGTAACTTGGAGGGATTAGCCAGTTTCCTAGCCTAGCCTAGACTAGTCTTCCAAAAGTGAGGATGGCCTTGCCATTTGTTTTCTTTTGGTTGGTGACAAATTTACAGATTTTTAGCAAACCTTTTTTGAAGGGTTTCTTCTTTTTTCCTTTTTCTATTATTAGCCTCTTTCCCAAGGGCTAAAATAATCTTCTCATTAGTCAAAGGCTCCCCCAAGAGCCAAGACTTTGAAAAAAGAAAAGAGCTTTTTTTTTTTCTCCTCCCAACTCTGGGCTATTTCCATAACATAGCTTGAGCTGGCCATGAATCCTTGTTTGGAAAAAAATGCAAGGAGATGATGATGATGATGATGCTGATGATGCATGAAACACACCCCAATTCTCTTGGAGGTGATTTTTTGGCCCCGACAGAGGGCTTGGCATGAATGAGATGGCCCGAGAATGCCGAAGGCATGGGCTCATGAGTGTTAGAGAGAGAGATAGAGAGAGAGACACACAGAACCATGGTTAGACTTTAAGGTCTTTGAGGCTTCAAAGAAGGCTGGGCAAAAATGTAAAGAAGACTTGGGACCAAAACGACGACGAGTCCAGTCTAGCGATGTGGTATTGGGGCTTGCAGAGCCATCGTCACGCCTGTGGCACAGCAAAACACACTGTCATAGATATTAGTACCTTTTGTCGACCTAATGAAATGAATTATGAAGTTTGAATAGTTATTTAAATCGTAAAGAGAGATTGTTTGGTCAGTAGCAACTAGGAAGTAAATTTTATTTTTTTGACATAGAGAGGTCAAAAGTTCGAATCTTGAACTCGAGCGGGGAAAATTGATTTCACTCGCCATTATATGAAAAGGAGTTGGGTTATGAATGTGGTACTAACCTGAGTGAAGAGCAGGAGTGGGCGCGAGAGACATGGGCGCTGCATAGTGCTGCGCCGGGTAGCCCGAGGTCGAGTTGATGGCCGAGTAGTGGAAGAGGTGGTGCGGGTATTGGACTCCGTAATTCTGGCCCGAACTGTAGCCCGACCCTCCGCTGCTCCCTTCACCGGCGAGATGTACATATGGGTAAAACGCCGCCGCTGCCGCCGCACCACTCATGAGCCCATTCGGCCCGGTCCCGTACATCGGGTACTGGGCAGCAGCTCCTCCATACACGCTATAGTAGCTCTGGACCAGTTTGCACAAACTCAGATGTGTTACTACTTCATTCTTGCACATGCTCGAGACTTTAGTCTAGTACCTCTCAATCACTCATCATGCACCGTAAATTCTCGTGGGCACGTGACATGCAACTCTTATCTTTTGTGACATAGTTTTTTTTTTCCTTTTTTGCTCCCAAATCTTTTGTAATATAGTATAGTAGCATGTGCGCGGGGCTAAGGGACAAAAGATGCATCGAACATACCAAACAAATTTAGATTAAACGACCCTTCGTTTCAAAAATCGCTGAGCTTCACCGAATTTCCATGGGATTTGCGCCTATAGTAGTTAAAGAACTATATGTAGAGTCATAAAAAGGCGCGCTAGTCAAAATATGGTGAAACTATAGCTTGAAAACATACTCGAATAGTCGGTCAAAAAGTGAAGCCAAGATCATGTGATTCGCTCCATTTATTTCACCACTAAGAACTTACCACATTATTCCTACAACCTTGTCGTGAGCTTGTTTAACAAAGTCATATATCATTAATCTTTCACCCTGGGAGCTTCAGAGAAGATAAAATGAGACCGACAAAAGGAACAGTCCGAGCCGTGGCAAACTTTCTTCATTTTGTTTTGTCATTTAATGTTTTATTATCCAGAACAGTAGGGGCAACATTTCACGAAAAAGAACCAAAGGGTTATGCATCATGTTATTTTTCGGACATCGAATATCGACTATAGTGACTAATCAAAGGTAAGGGAAGTTAACAAAGTGATTTGTCTCCCTAAAAGATGGTCACGCTGGTTTAAAAGTGAAAAAAAGAAGAAGAGGAATCCTATGTAGATTAGCTTTCAAAAACAGGTAATAAAAGAGAAAAAGGGAGCAGCTCGTACGAACCGTGGGGTAAGTGTAATCTGGTGAATAGGAGGAGTACCTGAAACCACAAAGCAAACAGTTAGAGAAATTGGAGGTTCGTTGTGCATGCATGAATGAGTATGCACATTTTGTGGTTGCATGGAACGATGAGTAGTATAGGACTCGCCATTACAATTCTAATACACTGCATGGCAATGCTAGGGAGTGTGAGAATATACATATGCATAGAAAGGAACCCTACATAAGATAAGAGACAGCAAAGAAGAGATTGATGTCGGGTCGAGAACATGGGTGTTTCTTTGATGCATGCAGATATGGGGTCGAACATGAACTGTCACTTTGCGTCTTTCAGCATGTGCATGTCGAAAGCAGACACTGTTGTGAGACATGTACGTAAAGCCAACCTAAAAGAGGAACAACTGTAACGCGCTTAGAGAGAGAGAGAGAGAGAGAGAGAGAGAGAGAGAGAGAGAGAGAGAGAGAGAGAGAGAGAGAGAGAGATGAGTGGTGACACACAATGATGAAATGGAATAAATATGTGGGTGGTTCCTATTCTTCTAAAGTTTGACTGGTGGAAGAGAGAGAGAGAGAGAGAACACGATGAAGGATTCCATGACGTGGACCCTTCATCTCGTGAGAAGCTTCTTTCGATATCTCGATCCATCTCAACCGTTATAACGACGATCGGGATTGATTGAAACCTCAAACGGAGCAACTTACAAGGTCCAGGATCTTCATCCAGAAACCTGCTACTCCTAGTTACTAGCTGGGGATCAATGTGTGAGTAGTGAGTAGGGTGTGTGCGCATGAGTTGGCAATGCACGTGGAGGGTTCTCACAGAGAGAGAGAGAGAGAGAGAGAGAGAGAGAGAGAGAGAGAGAGAGAGAGAGAGAGAGAGAGAGAGAGAGAGAGAGAGAGAGAGAGTACCCAGCATAGAGATTAAATGGGAAGCCTTGTTGGAGCGCATAATGGGGGAAGGTTGCTGCAGAAGCAAAAGCTGTTCCCACACCTCCATGAAACCCTCCTGTCTGGAATCCGCTCATCCCCCTCATATTCCTCCCTCCTCCACCTGCTTCATCATTCACCATCATGATGGCCATCAGCAACCCCACCATTTACTCGCGTTTGTTAAATTAAACTGATCGACAATTACGATTCGCTTTCCATAGCTAACAATGACACACAATAACTTAGGAATATGAACTTGGACCCGAGTACATCTTGGATGGATGACCAAAAGACAACCCGATCGGATAAAGAGAGGGAAGTAAAACAACAAGCGATGCATGAAATGTGAATGTGGTTCCTTAGCAGTAGATGTTAAAGAACTTTGGGATGCATGGCATGTACCGAGTGAATAAAAACGACTCATTCCCTCTCGTTTGAACAACTCTCTCTCCTCTCTTTCTGTTATTTACTTAGGATATTTCCCATGATAATGCTTTCGTCTTTGTCGTCTCCCACTTTTCTCTCGCCAAAACAGCTAAAAGCAAACCAAAAGAAAGCAAAAGAAAACCCCTTCATGAATCTTCTATATATATGGATCAAAATGTAAAAGCTTTGGAAAAACCGATAAGCCCAAAAGAATCAGAAGAAAGAGGGAAAATTTGTAATCACTAAAGCATGGACTAGAAGCAACCATAAAACCCTTAATAAGAGAAAAGCGGGTCACAAGTGATAACCCTCATTAAACTTTGGCTAGATCTGATGGAAAGGAAACCCCATTGATATCAGTGAGATGAAGAAAGAGTTATTATGTGTGTAGATATACCGGTTTTTGGGGTGGAGGGTTTGGATCTTTGGAGGCCAAGGCAAGCAAGATTGCAGTTAGCTCTCCTCCCATCTATCACCGGAGACGCATCCACGCACGCTCTCATCGCAGCGTCTGGCTCTCGAAACGTCACCTGCAAAAAACAAAACTCTTATTAAAAAAGAAAAAGAAGAGAGAAGATAAAGAAACAAAACAGACAATCCCTTGAAAACATCCATGTTTAAAAACCCCGTGACTCGAAAGGACTCGTGAAACCATCCATTTCGATACCGTATGAAGGGTCAAGGACCGGATCTTCCCATCTGTTTCAACTGTTTCAAGATCTAGACCGACTAAATAACACACACACACACACACAGAGGATGAAGGAGTAGGAGGAGAAAGAACGTACGAAGCCGTATCCTTTGGACCTGCCAGTGGCCTTATCAGTGATGACGACGGCCTCCAGAATCTCCCCGAACTGTTCGAAGTACTTCTTCATGGTGTCCTTCTGAGTCTCCCAAGCCAGCCCCCCCACGAACACCTTGGTGTACGTGGTGTCCCCGAACTGCCCTGCCAAATTAGCCGGAGTCATCTTCTTCCTCCTTCCTTCCTTCCTTCCTTCTTCCACAAGGATCTCTATGCACGCGCTAGCCCCCGAGGGGAAAAGGTCAGCAGCAAAAAAGAGAAAGAACTCGGGTTCCTCCGGCTGCGTTGACACTACTACCGGTTCAGATCTACGACAGGAGAGAGACCACAACAGATCTTGAGGGATCTTCTCTTTGGATATGGAGGGTGGTGGTGGTGCCGATACAGATCAGACGATTAGGTCAGATATCAGAAACAAGAAGATGTGAGAGGAAGGAGTGAGAGAGAGAGAGAGAGAGAGAAATGAGAGGGAAGAGAAAGCAAAAGTCGAAGGAGGAAAATAAGAAAATATGAGGAACGAAAAAGAAAAAGGGAAGACACCATGTCATTTATGAATTATATACATGCGGCGGGCCCCCACCAGGCCTTTTACATCCTGGACATCACGTTCCCACGTCCTCACCGCGCGTGCGCCTCCGCGCGCCGCCGCCGCCGGGGGGTGTTCCGCCGGTTCACGCGCCGCGCCGCGCGTGGGGGTGGCCCTCGGCCGAATTATTATGTCCGTCACTCGCTCGCCAACTTTGTATTATTTCTAGGGGGGGTGTGGGGTGAGCCGGGGAATTTACCGGTTCGCCCTCGCCGCTTGCCGCGAAATTACGAGGCGGCACCGCGCGGAACGCCGTTTCCCGCGAGTGGCAGAAACGGGACGGGAGCGATTTTTCCTTATTTTCTTTCTTTTATTATTTTTATTTTTCGTATGGGGGAGGGAGGGAAACCGGCGCGGGAAAGTCAAAGGTCAACCCTCGACCGGCAGTAGTATTCTACGTGGATTCTTGCCGTCGTCAAAGAACACACCGATTGCATTTTCGCGCGGTGATAAACAAGCATCGGCTTCACATAACTCAAAATCAAGATATCCTTCCCATGCTCGGAAAAAAATAATTTTTATATAGTTAGCATGCTGAATAAAATACATAAATTATTACGTAAATCAAGCGTATAATTTCTAATCGGATGGATCTCTAGATGAAGTGGAAACGACGGTTATCGATTTGAACGGTCAGCATTCATCCGGGGCGGATTCAATGAGCTCCCTTCCTGTGGACAAGCACATACAGATAGATTTGTCAAATGGATAGGTTGGGTCGGGTCATGAATGATCTGATCTAAATTGACCCATTAACCTGTTTATAATTCATTTATTCGTTATGCAAATTCCTCAACACACACCCGATTTGACCTATACCCAGCTCAAACCCAACTCAATCCATATTACTAAAACGCTTCCATATTTAATATAATCTAGGATCACTTGTTTCTTATAAAATTTTAAAAATAACTATGTTGCTAAAACACCGTGGATAACTTTTATAATTTTTTTAAAAAATATTATGAGTTTTTTTATATTTTTCTTTTTCTTTTTTTCTTTTCCTTTTTTTTCTTCTAAGTCTAGCGAGGGTCGTTGGCAGACCCCTCGCTGATCACTGGCGAGGGCTGCCCGACTTTCGCTGACCACAAGCAAGGGTCGGTGCCGGCCGTGGGTGTGGGATGGAACCCTCGTCCAATGGCCGACGAGGGTCGTCGATTCTCGCTGTATTTTGTAAAAAAGAAAGAAAGAGAACGAAAAAATAAAATAAAAAGATTATGAAGAAATTCAAAAAAATTAAAAATAACCCGTCTATGATTTCTTACTAAGTAATCCATTTATGACCTATTTAAAACTCATTTAAGGCCTATTAAGTTGTTAGATAATCCATTTATAACTCACATAACCTTGTTTTTAAAACTTAAATTAATTCATTTATGCCCCCACACCATATTTTAGACTCATTTTGCTATCTCTACTTACTAATGATCCCCACGCCATGGCGAAGATTCACAAAAAACAAAAAAAGGGGGAGGTCGTCGGGTTGGCTGCTTTGGACCGACGAAGTTGACCGGGTACCGACACCGGTCGCATTCACTCCACGCAGGCAAGTGAGGTTCGAGATGGTGGCGGTTGTAGCAGGAGAATTCAAAAACGGCGACTTTGTCGGCGAAGACGGAGGACGGAGGACGGAAGGGAAGGGATGGGACGAGGATTCGCTGGTTGACCACGTTGGGGCGCTAACATTCTCTGCAGACACCATTATGAACCCCAAGTCTCTTTTTAACTGTAGCGTCTTCATGGGTTCTCGTGCAAGCTTCGTTTCTTTAAATCGGAGAAAGTGAATGTACTGTGCATGCACTGGATCTTGTCGTTTGACCGGGTATCATCCGGTTCGACTGAGATGGGGCTCCATGGCGGCTGGCGGTCCGGGTTCCCAGGAACCGTCGATGCCCGGTCCGCCCCCAGCAAGTACAGGAATATGAGAATGAGGACCTGAATTTCACGACGCACGGGAGATTTTCGAGCGCTCTTTACCCCGGGCCAACCCGAGTGGATACTGCCCGTTAAACAGACCCGGCCTCGACGATTCAAAATTTCTATGCAGGCGCGATCCTCGGAGAGAATCCTTTGGTCCGATAATCCATGACGAGTGGTGGGTCTTGCCAGTAGTCAGAAGTAGTCGGTCGATTTGTACACCGGGAAACCTTAAATGACCGAATCCTCGCACCTATAACCCGTGGGCGAGCGACGAGGGATCCGAAAACCGACCCGTAAACGGGCGTGTAAATCAGCACGGACATAGCTTTCTAGATTCAGATGACGACGATGATGTTACCAATAACAGAGCACGACGCATAGGGTAAAAAGATGGGGTGTGTTCGTATATGTGCAAATGGTTCGTGCGAGCTGGGGCTTAGAGGGAGGAGGGGGCTGCACGTGGTGGATCGGAAGTGATGAAATGGGTAGGGGTCACGCACGCTCGAAACTGTGTGCAGAGAGAGTGGGAGCGAGTCCCTCGTTGTCTCTGCGGTCAACAATTATTATTCAGCAGAGGAGGAGAGAGAGAGTGAGGGACACGAACGAATGAATGCACGAAACCGCGTCGCTTTCTGGTCAAAAAAGAAGACCCCAGTTGGAGACAGCTTGCCCCACCCCCCCCCCCCCCATCTGCCAGATAAGAAAAAAGGGGCAACCCCCCCTAGTTTTCCCTTTGATCTCCTGCTTCTGTTCTCACCTCCGCCAAGGATTGCTCCAGCTACAAGCGTGTTCGTGTTTGTCCTTTTACGTTCGAGATCCAGAGTTCGAATCCCCGCATACCCCCGATCGCGAATGGTCGGGCATTCAAAAGAGCCCGGGCACAGGCACATCTCATTGATATGGAAGAGAAGAAACCACCTCAGTAGTCTAGAGAAATTTTTACTTTGGTACTCAAATCAAACTGCCGAACATAATCATAAGTTACGTTCAATCTAGTGGGGCTAACCTGCACGTGCCCGTCTGCAGCCTTACACTACAAAAGGGGAAAAAGAAGACTCACTCATCCATCTTCCTTTCATCTTTCCAAAGCTGCCCTTCTTCACGTACGACCCTCGTTTTGCCTAATCGCCACCCCCCGTTGTGTTTCCATTTTGGGGGGCTGTTCTTCGCTTTTGCTTCTGTGGGCCAAAAGCCCGCTGTTTTCTCCATCTCTTTGGCAATTGGATGGGGTGAATAGATAGGTGGTAGACAATTTTTCTGACCAACAATGATGTCTTAATGCCCCCCAACTTATGTCATTTCATTGTCAATCCTCTTCGGTGTATCCCTCAGTCTGTCTTATGTTCTTCGGCTCTGTTAGTAAAATACTCGGTACTTTTACGTAAAATACACGCACGGGCGTACATGATTTTCAAATTTTTTATAAAACCTTCGTCTCCCACACGTTTGCTTAACTTACGTAAAAAATAAAAAATACCCGGTTCTTTTGGAAACAACCGAATTGTACACATACAAAAAGTGTGCCGTATTATGGTCGGGTAAAAATACTTCGGTTATGAACTTGTTTCATGTCTATCACTTGAACACCAACACTATAATTAAATTATCACATATTCACATAAACGAGTATAGTATCCTCGTAATTTTGAGACCTTACTGCATCGATTCTGCCCGAATAGTACTGAAACACTGATGTGAGTTCTGAAAAGCCGAGCATGCCGAATATATAATCTCACCAGGAGTACGGTTCAAAATGCCATACAAACGTTGCAGCACTCAAGTCATGCAAGAACTAAATAGGAAGTTCCTAGACAAAACAAGCCATTATTAAGAGCCATAAATTCCGGTCCAGGATAGTAATGCAACTCGGTGGTGACGGTAACATTATTAAGAGCCATTATTGGCCTTCGTGCATGACAGCAACCCGGTGGTGACGGTAACATGACAAGATGCAACTCGCAAAAATTCATAGTAATGCAACTATCAACAGAAAAGCCACGGCCGCACTGCCGTACATTTAACTGGCGGAATGCTTTCCTCGAGCGCATCAACAAAAGAAAGCGCACCACAGAAGAAATCAGAAGCATTAGTGACTTAAAATAACATTACTTCGGTTTTCTTGGACAGACAATTCTCCATATTCCTACATCCCACATCCCATGCCAACAACGTTAACATGAGATTGGTGCATTAAAGTTAACCCAACATCTAACCTAGAAATCTGCTAAGATGCATATAGAAATAATGCTTTAACCACAACATGTACCAAAGTGCTCCTTTCTTCCAAAAACCATGGAATCTATATGGGAACTGTGGCCCATCTAACTGACAAAAAATAACTGATGAACCTCCACTCCTCCATCCATAGCAACAAAAGGAGCAAGAAAGTCATGCTTACCATCAATCCAAGCTCATCAAAGCATATCTTCATGATACAAATGTAGGCCAAGGCCAAAGCGCGCACAAGCTCGACGAAAAGCCATAGCTTCTGCCTTTTGCACAGGATCTCCATAGCCAGCATCGTCAAGTGAAGCAGTACCAGTTGACTCCCTGTACATCTGTCGTTACAAAGAAAAAGGAGAGACAAATAAAGAAGATGAAAGTCAGCTTCTTTCCTCTCTTACACGCCATCTGCATCCACATTCTTGTTAGAGTCTATCAAAATGAAGCATAGACATAGATAGGAATCTGTCGACTGCTTCTGAAAAATATTTATTAACACGTTTAAAAAGTTTGTTTCATCGCATGAACTTTGCCACCACGATAAATGAATGACAGAATGCGGTAATAGTCCGCCATATCGCATTACTTAGTCACAATGGCACGGGATGGCCATCTAGAAAATATCTCAAGAATGAATATTGCTACTTTTCATATGAAAATAGAATATGTCATTGAAGATTGAGTTAAAAAAATTCCTTCCGAGTAGGTTCTACTTACAAGTTCAAGCGGACTAAAAAGTTCTATTCAACTAACGTGTATTTATGAGAAAAAGTAGACATATAAGCACTTTAAAAGTACAAAAAGTGGGATAATTGAATGACATAAAATTCTTAGACCCAACATTCACAACCTAGTAACCTACAAGCTTTATCATGATACTCCACACAGAGAACTGCTTCCTAAGCAACAACAATATCGGTAGCAAGAACTGTTTGTGGGGTGGAAGTGATGCTTAAACTTTTGCTTTAATTTGAACTTCTAACAAAAGTGTATGTAGAGTTCTTTATTCCCAACAAAACCGGATTATGGCAGCTAATGACAGGAATGCTGTCACACTTCTGGAGCTGACCTGAAGTCACTAAGTTCAAACTAAAAAATTGCTAGAATTTTTCATCAAGTTGCACTCAAACAAACGTCGCTAAATCATAAATCAACAGATTTGCATGTATTGAATAGTTCAAATTCTCACATATGGAATCACAGAATATAACAGATGATCCAACTGTAAAACATGAAAGGCGTGATGCGCTTGGAAAAAGACAGTCCAAGAGAGCAAACGCCCTAATATAGTACATTTACTTTACACCCAGAGCCAAGATTAGTCTAGTGCATTGAAAGGATCAAAAGAAAAAGTTCCACCACAATTAATGTAACATAAATCAAATTCCACTGAGTTTAGTCTTTGATCAAGGGATAAACTGGATAGGCACTTGCAAGTGGTGCTGATAATTTCTCTCCAGTTTTAGGAGAAATCTGTTATTTTATCCAGAGCAAGTTTTGTTTCATTTTCTGTACCATACTCTTTTTCATCATTACAAGCACTACGCATTTACCCTTTTCTTCCAAGTGAATCAAACCACAACCTTTGTCCCTATTAAATAGAATTAGGCATTCAGAGACATCTGATACATAGAAACTTTATGTGTCCATGCAATCTACTTCAGTCGTTATGAGCCCATTAATTATACAATGGTTTCCAACATTTCCAGCATGAATGGCATGAGACTTTACCCAGAAATATTATACATCAACATTTGAAAGCCCGGCAACCATTATATTCGAGGAGTCATTTTCTTACCACATCTAACTTGAATAGTTCAAGTTCATCCACAAAGAAATGTGAAATTGATTAGATCAAATTAGCCAGTTTTCTCCCCCTCACTGGGTAAATCACATTGCCATAAAGCCACAAATTGGTGGAAAGTGCTAGTATTAAAGATTCACTTTCGTCTGAAGACACAAGTTACTTTGATCCAACTACCCCATCTGAAACTTTCTTTACTTAGATCGAAATTCCTTCACTCGTGTTGGAACATTGTTTGCAGTGATATTTTGCCATATTTTTACGAGTTTCATTGTTGAGGGAAACTTCGAGGAGTTTTACTTTTACCCACTAAAATCTTGCTGGACAAATCCAAGATACTATTGTATAGTTTACGCCTTTTGCATATAATATCATGTTGGTGGGATGAAACAAGGAAGGGGTAGAAATTATGCACTAAAAAAATCTAGAAGTCAAAAGGGCTTATTTCAAACGTGGAAATGGGAGGATATGGATATGAAATACCACTTTAGTAAAGGAAGAAGAAAGACTGAACCCATGAAGAGAAATGAATGTAAGAACCAAAAAAGCGGTACATAGGCCTATTTTGCTGAACAGTGGCAAGATGGAGAAGTCACTTGCACAACAGAAGCAAAATGAAAGAAATTGATCTTTCGAGCAACTGCAAAATGCCGCTAAAATTTAAGAGAAAAATAAGCAGAACTGCAACAAGAGTGGCTACATTGCATAGGTCAGAATCCATCATGAAAAGAAATTTGGGCAGACACGTTGGCATTCAAGAAAGGACAGTAATGGAAATAAAAATTAACAAAAGAACTTGAAGGAGCCCAGTGGAGGATAATATGAGAAGTGAGAAACCTGGTTAAGGTGGTTTGTCCACTTGTAGCGATAACCAGGAGAAATTTCAAGTCAGAAGATGTGATTTTATGAAACGAGAGAATACCAAAGAAAAGGGTACAGAAGACATATTAGACATATACAAAACCTTAATGGACCTTGATTTGATAGAACTTCCAAGGATAATGGCACTTAAAATGGTACAAAGCATAAGAGTATCTATGCATGACTGACACCACTTATTGAAAAAAAGGCTCTATTATTATTGTTATAATTATCGAGAAATGACCCAAAAATTTCCACTAAATGCGGACTACTATAGATTGTACTTGCTGAGATGAGACCAACTCAACCATAATATAAATATTTGAACTGAAAAAGAGGGTCCATAAAGCAATATACAAGCTACGAGTGATGGGTGGTGGAACACATTCTGCTAGGGAAGAAGAAAGATTAAGCTGACAATTATCAGTCTAGAACATGACATGAGAATCTGAAGAGACTCATTCTTAAAATACTGTTGTATCTGTGTAGCACAAGCACAATAGATGACGATGCCTTCTAGCACTACCACTAGCTTCTAGAAATATATATATGCACAAGGCATGGCTAGAGAAACTAAAGGGAGTGAAGTCACCCAAAGGAGCAAATCTACACACCTCGGTTACATTTCCCCAAGGCTATAAACAATCTCACAACGTGGTAAATGGGATCGCCTCGGTAAATCAATGTGATAAGTGTTAAATCCGACACAAAAGATCAAGTAGACACATTTTAGGCAAGTGCATTATAGAATAATGGCACACAACATATAACAACTTGCAAAGGTCATGGGCTTATTGCCATATATGCGAAACATTTCGGGAAGTGGCAAAACTACCTCTGCATCGGTCCCGTAAAGTGTCACGCGGTAAACAACAGACACGGTCTTGCCATCAGCCGAATAACTGATGCTCCGGACCTCACCAGACCACTCTGCAACACGCACATTCCAATTAACGAGTAAGAAAGCTTAAAACTTTGATACGCAACACGCACCCCGAAAAGAGAAGGAGATGGAAATGGCAGGTCTTTCATTTACCCGGTGCGTGTAAGTTCATGATTCTATTGACTATGTGCCTGCAAAGAAACGCAAAGGACAAAGAGCCCATTAAGAATCCCAGACTCAAATCGATTCAGTTGCCAGGGTGACAAATGTCAGAGACGATAACCAAATTCCCCTTCAAAACCAGTCGGGAAACAAAAGGGGCATTTCCGGCTCAAAATTTCCACAATTCACAAGGAAAACAAGAACCCAGTTCGCTTATCGGCAGAGAGAGAGAGAGACCAAGGGATGTATTTGATGGAGAGGCCATCTTCGAGGCGGGTCCTGACGAGAGAATCAGGGACCCGCTTGTTGAGCTCCTTGAGTATCTCGGAGAGGGGCCTGCTGATTCCGGAGGTGGGTACTGCGGCGTCGTCGTGCTGCTCCTCGGCTCTCTCGGTCTCGGCGTCTCTGTCGCGGCTCGAAGAAGGCGAAGGCTTGGCCGCGAACGTGCGGGGACGAGCTCCAAGTTGAAAGGGAAGGATGGGTTTCGAGGGAGAAGAGGAACGGAGTGAGTTTCTGAGGGATCTCATCACAAAACCAGCCATGGTCGATCGAATTCAGAGAGAGAGAGAGAGACAGAGAGAGAGTTTTCCGAGGTTTATGCCATGGTCGAGGGACACTGGGTTCTTGATTCTTGAATGCTGTCTGAAAAATGAAGAAAGGACGGGACGAGACTCTTGTTGTTCCAAGGGGGAATGTTGAAATTTTATTTTTGTAGGAAAATCCACGTCGGACTCTGTAAATTTTTTTGAAATTCGATTAATTGTGTAGAGTCTACACTAAGGTTGTGCAAAAAAATCGGAAACCGCCCGAACCGCCCTTGATCGCCCGGAACCGGTAGTTCCTAAGGGAACCGGTCCGATTCCCAGTTCCAGGTGTGGAACCGCTCACCTGCCCACCCGGACCGGACCAGTAATATAATAATAATATAATATAATTATTTAATTTTTTATTAAAAAAAATCTTAAATCCTTAAACTAAACCTAACTCGCTTGACAGTCACAACCTCACGCTGAGTCGAGAAACACCTTGTTTTGGATTCGTCTCATGCTCACTCTCACTCTTTCACTCTTCTCGGTCGATGCTCACCTCACTATCTCCGACTCTCCGTTTCCGTCTCTATCCTTGATTGGTGGGACCGGTTCCATGAACCCATCTGGGATCCGAATTGTCCGATCCGGTTCCTGGATAAGTCTATGGAACCAACAAGCGGTTCCCGATTTTAGGGTAAGAACCGCCCACCTGGATCATACTCAGCCCTACTACACATTGCTTGCACGTAATAAGGGCTTATGCTATGACAACCCCCCCCCCCCCCCCCCCCTCCCCCAACCGAAAAAAAATGGGGGCTTGTGTAAAAAATGAAAATGAAAATAAAAATAAATAATGGTTTATTTGATGAAACTAGAAAAATAATACTGAAAATCTGAGCGGTAGATTTTGAGTGCTTTGATGATTTTCGTCGCTGGAAATGAAATTTAAATCTTCTTCGGTGATTTCTTAGAAGTAAAAATCAAATGTAATTAATTTCTTGCCTGACATGGAGTTGTGAACATAGTTAGTATATTTTAGCATTAGAGTTAGAGACAGTTCTAAAAGTGGTCATCGATTATTCAATAATAAAATCAATCGAGTAACGCATTTTTTTATTATTTATCCATGAAGTGAATCTTCGACTTTGCTTGATCGATTAGGTCAAAACTTGTTACTTTTACCATAATTCTCATTTTACAAAACGATTCAGGAGCAAGACTTAAGTGCGTTTATCTTGATAACGAGTTTTATCGGCTCCATTGATAGAATAGATGAACCCCATCATATAGAATGATTCGTGTCTATTATGGACAACTGCTGAATTGAATCATTGAATCTAGTAAATTTTCACTGATGCACGTACAAGATACATGCGGAAATCTCTCCAGGGAATGGATGAATCTTCGAAATTTGGAAATTCCATCTTTTAATTTCGAAGCCAATGTGCAACTTGAGACTTCAATGAATTTACCCTTTACAGCCTTTGATTCCTGTAATTTTTTCCATAAATTTCTTTAATATTTGTGATCTCTCCAAACTGTCTATCTCACGGTGCAATGCTGGAACCAGATAACAACTCAACGTTGTGTGCTTCAGGGCAAATGGATTTCTTGTCGCCATCAGTGAATATTTATTGATCTCACCAAAGAGGGTTGGCGTTCAGCTTGAGATGCACCATAGATTTGCACACGTACTTAGGAAAGAAACGCAACACAAGCAGAAACACAGAAAGCCAAACGAGCTGAGAACTAGAGCTGAGCCATTTGCTGGATGTTGATCGGGTAACAGTCCGATGGCGGACCGTAGAAAGCCCTCTGGGTGAGCACCGAAGAAGCGGCCTGTGTCAGGTGAAACGCATCCCAGAACACTTGTCGAGTCCTGTCGGGGCACGGCACTAGAAACGGAATGCACGTTATTTCGCCTTGGTTCCTTCCTATTCCACAGCACGCGTTGTCCACAACACTGAATCCTGTGCATTCGCAGACATTCACGTTTAGGATCAGTGGATCTAAGACTGAAGATGGTGCTGGTTCAGCGAAACCACGAGGGTCGTAAGTGAAGTTTTCGATGGCTTTTACCGTATGCGGCGGGATTGTTTAGGATGTCTCCCATGGCGCCATAGGTGTTTCCGTAGATAAAGATTGAGCCGGGGTGGTTGCTGTTCAGCTGCTGCACGAGCGACCTGAGCCCCTCATTGAAGGTCCCGAGCATCTGGTTCACGGAATCGACGCATCGGTCCGGGTATTGGCTACGGGCCCTCTGGTTTGGGATGCAGCCGAGTGGTGGGATTCCTGCTAGGAAGAACTTCCTCAGTCCGACACTGTTCAGTGCCTGCGAGAATAAGAAACGTCAAATGCTTGCTCTGTAACTTCTCGTCCAACATCCTAGTGGAAACCGAACAAGAAAATTAAAACTACCAGAATCTGTCGAGCGTAACGATTGATAAGGAGGTTCCCATAGTCCTGGGGACTGTAAGTGTAGCTGGAAGGGTACAAGGAAGGCAAAAGGTAGTTGCTGATGTAGTCGTTGCTTCCGATGACCATGACGGCAATGGATCCAGCGAGGTATCGGCTCAAAGCCGCTCCGTCCAGCATTGTTCTCAGTTGATTCAGTGTGTTCTCAAAGTTCAGAACTTGCTGGCTCAGGCTGTACTTCTCTCCCTGCATTTTGCATGTGAAAAAAAACAGATGCAGTCAAACGAAGTACATCCACTTGAATGGAAGAATTTTCTCCTGCATTCATGATGAAGATGGAAGCATATCTCCAAGGCACATCAACACATCTGAACCCACTGTATGTTGCGTTGGCATGCTAGTAATATTTCCCCAAATCTTTCGTTTTTCTGTCCGAATTGGAATGATAACTAGGTAGAATCTCTGTGAATTCCCTAATAATTTCGACATAAAAAGGGTCATGATACACGAAAGCCGTCGTGAAATAGACCGCGAGGCCTAATGAAAACTTCCTGCGCTTTTCTTTCTTTGCACTGGCAATTAGCACATAGGCCCCGTATTTTGTAGGGATCTTCGTTTATTCTATTGATTTACAGACAATACAGCGCATATAAAGTTCAAAAATGGAAACTTTGTTACGTAGTGTCGGCCTGTCTCATCGAGTATGCCCCCAGCCGCAGATGCATAATTGACTCCCCCTACGATTTTCGCCCCAGTTGTAGACGGATCGGCATAAGCCGGAGGACTTGGCAAACCCAGCATGTCGCCTGTCAAATAGGACTCAATTAAAGAAGAACATATATATGATTCTTTTTCCACCAAGAAAAAGCATGTGATTTATTAGACTTAATTGTTCTGCTTCCGGATTCGATGCATTTGAAATATATCGATTGATCTGTACAAGCACAAAGTTGAGAAAAATGTGGAGAGGTGTTTACCCAGCATGTCGACGATGTTCTTCCCATTAGAAAATCTGCCAGAAGGTCCTCCAGGGTAATCAATACCATAAGGAGGGTAATTGCATTTGGCATAGGACCTGAGGTAATTATTGTTCCCGACATCAACTATCGAGTCTCCGAAGACGAACATCGCCGGTACTTTCTGCGATCCTAGAGCCACATTCACGCACTGTACAATTGAAACCATCAGTAGCACAGCAACAAGCCATGGTCTCTCACTGAACCCTATCATTTTTCTCTTTCCTTGCTATGAAAATTGTGATGTTTAAGGCACTTTTAAAGATGGAAACAAGAGATGATGATGATGATGAAGAAAAGAAGAAAAGAATTGCACCATTTATTGAGCACTATAACGGCTGGGCTTGTAGCATGTCTTTTTGAGCGAGCAAACCTTGTAATGTTGCTTTCGGTCACGCCTTTTGTGCAGGATTTGGGCTGCACTTTCTCAACGGCCGTTTGTCCTGGTTCTTTCTTCTTAATTACGATGCTCATCAGCAACTTTGGTTTCTTTCATTTTCTGTGTACTATACCAGATATAGGAGTGAATGTTGATTTAGATACAAGAATACAAACTGAAAGTTATTGCCAAAGTTGGTTGAGGGGTCCGACGATTTCCGGTTCGAAAAATGGAGGTCACTCGTTCGAATCTCACAAACCACATGACGGCTCTGGGTCAGGTCCACTTGCACAGGCAAAGGACCCGAACTTAACCTGCTCATCAAGCCTTGCAAGGTGTTTCATGGATCTCCAGATAGCGGGGTTTCCACGTCCGTGCCTCTAAATTATCAAAAGAAATCAATACAAAGTGACGCTCTTTTCACAGCTTTACACTTTTGAACCAAATGGGCAGGCACCCAACCTCGAGATGCATGGCGTCAGAACTGCAGATTATGTTGGAACATCTTTCGTTTTCCTTCATGTAATAGATCATAACAGGGCCTAATCAGGTCGAGTTCTGGGCTTAAAAATCCTTTCCCAATCCTCCCTATGATGTTAAACTTTTTGTTGTTTCTTTGCCTTAAAAATGATGGGCTTGAGCAAGCCTGAGCGGCCTGAGCTAGGTGGAAACTGCTCTTTCAAGGCAGTGATTTGTGCTTTGGACATGCGGGTGATCAGGCCATGACCATGTCTATTCGAAGAGGGAGTTGCACTCACTGGTAAGCAAATCTACTGTCTCATCCATGACTTACCCGCAACTGGGCAGCTTCTTGGTTGTTTAGCAATCAGTTATTTTGGTCAGCAGGAAGTAATATTCCCAGAGAGTATGATTTGAGATTTCTATGGGCTTAAGATTTTTATATTCTTTCGATGTCTCTTGGTCAGATTAATATTCTCGATTGCGGTCGAAAGTTCTTTTCATAACTCAGAAACGAGAGTTTACAACTTTTTTCACGTCATTCAATCTACAAATTCTCTTCGGGCCATCTTAACTCTAGAGGCACAAACGGTGTTCATTCTCATAATCGCCTGATTTTGAGCGTCGAGGAGAGATTGCACACTACGTAGTTAGCATTTGAGTGCTAAGGATGCTCCAGACACATCCGGTTATCTGCGAGGAGGAAAACGTAAATTTGCACACTCCTCACTCCTCTTATAGCTAAAAACACATAATAAAAGCCATAGCTTCACTGTATCATTCGATGTCTCTCTTTTCCTTCACCTTGAGGAAGAGAAAAGGCAGTGACAGGAGCATTTCGGAAGCGTGACCCTACCTCATAAAAGAGACAAAAACATGGACCGGACATTTCTTAGCGGAGAGGCAAGAGCCGTTTTACCCAAGTAAGATAAAAGATCACAGCATTTCCAAGCTACTCTTTCATCCTTTTTGAATTGATTATTTTGATTTATGATCCGACATCATGATATATTAGATTCGCCACAAAAGGGTTCCCTTTAGACAGACACAGCACAGAGCCACAGCATATCCCCCACCACTTAGCATGCCCTCCTTTTTCATCCATAGAAAGACAATGCCAACAGGAGGTATATACATAAACATATTGTCATAAAGACACGTACTAGCTTGGTAAATTCATTGAATGATGATGATATTTTGTACTGTGGGATTAGACCTAACTTCCTCGCGATCGCCTTGCCAACATGGGGGACCCTAGTGTCCGCCACACACGGTGAAAAGTTGATTTCGGGATGGAAAAAAGAAAGGAAGACATGGAAAATGGGGTTGTCATTGATCAAGCCAGATAGTGACATATATCCCAAAAGCAGAAGTAATTACTCTGTATTGCTAGCTTTCACCAAGTAATCAGTAAGATATCTAGACAACTGGATCGACAAAATTAATCGCAGTCCCGGGCCGGAGTAGAGCAATATGACCAGGATCTTTCATGTTCAAATGGTTTGATTAGGCCGTGGTCTTTCTACATCGTCTCCTCCAACATGGGATTTGATTGGTGATGTGGAAGATGGATTGTAAGAGTGCCATGAAGAGCAAAAGAGGTAGTTGAGGAAGTTGATGAAGCTTAGCGCAGCCAATAACCAGTAAAAGAGGTCAAGCCTGTCCTTGTTGAGGTCATTGTCACCGAGCCACCCACCAACAGAGGATGATGAATTTGAGGTGATCTTGTTGACTACTGAGACCAGGAGTGAGCTCAGATAGAACCCAAATGAGTAGGAGCAGTAAGTCATTGCGGTCAAGAAGGATTGCATCCCCACGACTGACTGCTTGTAGAAGAACTCAATAAGCCCAACTGCGGTGAACATCTCTGAGAGCCCAAATATGAGGAACTGCGGGGCTATCCAGAATATGGAGAGAGTCTCGTGATGCTGCAGCGCCGAGTCCCTCCTTTTCTTCTCAACCAGCGCTGCTGAGACCATTGAGAAGCTTGCAACGAAGAGACCAATCCCAACTCTCTGGAGAGGGGAGATCCCTGAGTCCCTCCCGGTCAGGCGACGGGTGATCGGGACGAACACAGTCTCATACAACGGGACGACGAAGATGAGCATGAGGTAAGGGATGGCCTGCAGGGACGCTGGGGGCACATGGAAGTGGTCCGTGATTCGGGTGTCCATGGAACTCCCTTGTTGGACCGAGAACGTTTGGAGCTGCGCTAGGATGGTATTGAAGATTATGGTGCAGGCAAAGATCGGGATGACCGAAATTATGATCTTCACCTGCTCTACTTGCCCGACGGTGCAGAGTTTCCAAGGGCTCTCGCTGTCCTGAGCTCCGTTTTGTATTCTAATGCAGGCCTTGTCTAGGAATCTGCAATTCAATTATGATCACAAACTGCGCTGTATGCACTATTTCACAGTGAAATATGTGGCAAAGGCAGAAAGTCGCCCTAGATTCCATTGAAATGTGGTACTTATCTCTAAGGCGAATATTAATTTGAGTGAACTTAATAGACCTGAGTTGCTAAGCACGTCGGGCTTTATTTGCTCTTAACGATTCCCAGAACATGAAGGGCGAATTGGATCATACACCAGTATTATACGGGTGAGGTGAGATTATGTGAAACAGAGAAATTCATTGTCTAAGCTTACTAAAATAGACTAAGCTACTCATATATGACAAAAGCAAAAAAAAAAAAAATGAGGACTAAGCGAGTCATAATTCAGAATAGATGTATTAATACTATGACTATCTACTACATGTGCAGAGGACAGTGTCCCATGACTTTATGTTGTTGATTTGTTCTGCCAACTTGAACAGTTTGAGCGCTACCTGAACTTTTCGGTGTGGCTGAGATTGCTTCTCTCGGCAGCAGAGGCAACCTGACGGTTAGATTCAGTGATGTTGTTCCCATGAAGCATGTCTGCATTTGAAGGACAGATTTGTTTTCTCTTTGTGATTGCAGCCACAAAAACCTGACCACACGCAAAAACATATGCACAAAATTTACACACATTTATTCAAAACAGAAAGTTTCACAGAAGTCAAATGACTAATACGTGAAAGGCGAAAGCGAAAGACCGCTCACTTGGGCTATCGGGATGAAGATGCTTCCGCGAGGAGGCGTGTTCTTGTAAAACAGGGCTCCCGAGATCAGACTGACCAGCCCAACCACCATGGCGGCGGCAGATACGCCGAAGCCAACATCCATCCCAGAGTCAGTCTGGACCCAGACGAGAACGGTGAGGGCGATGAGCTCCCCGGTGCAGAAGGCGAAGTAGGCGGCATTGAAGTAGGAGGAGAGCCTCCTGGACTGCTTGGAGTCCTCCCTCCTGAACTGGTCCGCCCCATGGGAAATGATGTTGGGCTTCAAGCAGCCACTCCCAAGTGCCACCAAGCACAGGGACACATAGAATATGAGGGCCCTGTAACCACTTGCCTCCTCACAATGGGACCCTTGGGCGTCATTCATGTTGCATTTTGGTGGCCTCAGTGATTGGAGATGTGCTTGGATGGACAGGAGTATGAAACCCTGCATATCCAATTCAGAAACCATAGTGTATTTCATTATTATTGTGCCTTTATTTGTCCTCCTATGATATTATTAGACCTGTAGAGGTTGACCTTCACTTTTCAGAATATTCTAATCCATAATATAGTCTTTATTTAGGTATATTAAAGAATTGTGAAAATTCTGAGTGTAAGGCCATCATCGAATGAGATAATTATGTCTAATCCCACACTAATTGCACATTTTCCACATTCTTGAACTCCCGCAATTAGTGAGCTGTTCCTTTAGAAGTAATTTTCTTCCCTCCATTTCGGCAAGGAGGTTGATGTCCAACATACATCATGCCGTGGATAGATTAAGAGCTGCTAAAACCATGGGCTGGAACAAGAAGTAAATCTTTATATACCATGAAAGTGCAATAGGCAAAAAGTGAAAGTGCAGTAGGCACTGAGCTTTTTGCTTCTGAATAGGATCAAGACACCAGAAAAACAGAAGAAAAGTATACAGGAATAAAAAGGGATGATCCTAGGAGAGAAAACAATCGAGTTCATGGAAAGAGGATTGACTCACGGAGAGCTCGACGAAGCCGAAGACAAGCATGGTCCAGAAGCTTCCAAGGTACGAGTCGGAGAGGAAGCCACCAAGGAGGGAGAGGAGGAAGATGGTGCCGATGAAGTTGGTGACGATGTTGGCGGATTTGGACAGAGGGAAGTGCATTTGGTTGAATACATATGTTATCAGATTGTTGCCGACCCCCGCGATCGCCATCATCTCAAACGCTTGGAGACCTGTGTGATCATCAATCACGCACCACCAACCAACCCAACAAACAATTACAAACTATCACAACATATTTTTATGCGCATAAACTTTGTTCAAAGTGAGTACAGCAAGTGAATGACACCTCACTTGCTTATTTACTAACAAAAGGAAGTGACCACTTCTAAATTCCACAGTAA